GACGCTTGCTTTGTTTTAAAAACATGACCGTTAAAATATGATTTTAAATCTGAAGAGATTAAGTACCTACACTTCAGAGCTGTTGACATAGAAGAAATACCGTCAGTCTGTGATAAATAACTTAGAATTAAGCGCAGTTGGTTTGTGATAGTTATTCATTACAAAACTTTATGAAAGTTTTTTATGTATAAGTAATTGTCCCATCTTTATAAATGTCGTGCGTGTTAGTTGAATGTGATCCGTCAAATAACTACAAAGTACTTAAAACTTTAAACAGTATCACAGTAGGTTATACATTTAGGTATATCATTTTCCTACATCAGACAGAGATTACAGAGTTAAGTATGTCCATTATCAAAGAAGTACCTATTCAGGAGTTTCATTTTTAAAATACCCACAAAAGGCAAAAAACATCCCCTTACAGCATGCATGTAGGTATGTAATTGTATACTGAATGGCCAGTATAGTAGCTATATTAATGAATAGGTATAAACAAGGTGCCCGAAGTAAAATCTTGCCAGATCTTTTTTTTATACTTTACGATTAATTAATAATATTATATTAGAGGCGCAGGGGTAAAGTTATCTATATCTATATCTATATATATATAAAAATGAAACCCGTTTCGCGTTGTCACGGCATCACGTGTGAACGGCTGAACCGATTTCGATAATTCTTTTTTTTAAATGTTTGTGGAAGTCCAAGGATGGTTCTTACGGAAAAAAATATTAAGAAAATCTCTACGCTAAGGCGGTACGAAGTTCGCCGGGTCAGCTAGTACATAATAAGTATGTATGAATAAACTAAAATTACCAAAACTTGAATTATGGTTTTTGATTTCCTATCAATTAAACTTTCTTCTATCACCATAGCATGTATTGTGATTTGTGATGTAGGTATATCTGTATAAGTATACCTACTTATTTGATCTTCACAGATCTAAGGTATACCCTGGTTGGAATAGCGCTGAGTGTTTAGATATAGGAAGGAATCCCAAAGCACCCTTCCTTCTTTATTCCTACTAAAGGCAATTGATTTTTACAAGAAAAAATAGATGCAGTTCATAATAATATGGTTCATTGAACCGAATCCAAAAAGAATTCAGCGATTGAATAACAATGTCCAAGAAAATTGCTGACGACATTACGTAAGGCATCAGCCGCAACTTCAAATCGATACAATATCGGTATCGAACCTGCGACCTCTGACATAACAGTGCAGTATGCGAACTAATTACACCAAGTAAGTATTTTAACACACTAGTGGAAAAGAGTGAAAAAATGCGAGCCAATTATATGCCACGATAGCCGAGCGGTGAAGGGGTCGGACTGGCTGACTCGTGATCCGGGGAACGCGGGTTCGGTCCCCGCCGCCGCGGCGCCGCTCGACTATTGTGGTGAGCTCACTCGTGACACAAGCATATTTAGCTTAGTACGAGGGGCTAACGGGAGATAAAAAAAAAAATTGCGCGCCAAAATTTTTTGCGCAGAATCTAGACTATGATGCACTAGTCTTTAGTGTCGGCTGTTTGGTGCCCTTATTTTCCTGTGTACCCTTGGCTGTTCCCTTGATGGTACAGTGGAAAATAAATTTTAACCGCTGTACCCTTGGCCGTAAAACCCAACCAACTTAAATTGTACACGTGATCAAAAGGACTAGAAAAAAAGAATTTTGAAAATCGGTTCACAATTGAGGAGTAATCAGTGAATATAAATAGAAAAAAAAAACATTACATACAGCCGAACATAATTATAACCTCCTCCTTTTTTGAAGTCGGTTAAAAATGGCGTAATATTATCTTTATTCTATGTACTTAATTAATTATAATTAGGTTTTACTTTTATCAACATCCATGTTACTTCATTTTTTTTTATCGATGTTCATTTGTTTTTGTTTTTTGGCCAAATTCAAGAAAAGCTAGTCCTCTTGGTCACATGTACAATTTAAGTTGGTTGGGTTTTACGGCCAAGGGTACAGCGGTTAAAATTTATTTACCACTGTATCATCAAGGGAACAGCCAAGGGTACACAGGAAAATAAGGGGTTTGGTGTAGTGGTTAACGGACTACTATGCCGAGAGGTTCCGGGTTCGATTCCCGGCCGGACAGAAACTGAAATGATAAATTTGTACCTATATTGGGTATGTATTTAAAAAGTATGCAGTTATATCCGTCAAGCTAACACCCATAACACAAGCATTTAAGTTGCTTACTTTGGGGCTAGCTGGCGATTTATTATTTACTAGTTAATTCTGTAAGTAATTATAAACGAAGAGATAAAAACAGCATCTTTCACAGACATTACGTAAGTTATCAGTAGGCAAGCTAGATAAGAGTCGGTCACATACGTTGGACATGATACTGATATGGAACATGATCAAATGATCTGATTATAAAGCAGTAATTAATAAATGATTTCCAACCGTTTAAAGCTGAATTTTTTCCTTTATTACATAACAAAAATATATAATTTATTAATTATTACAAATTAGTAAACGCTGGTTTTCATATGTAAATAACAATAAAAATAAAAGTTGTTCAACAACTGAGATAAATGTGATCTTTTAACCTATGACGTGCAAGAATGTGTTTTGATTGGTCTATACATAAACATAAAAACAAGTTGTTGCTGTGTTTCAAGCTGCAGTTTAAGCCCTAGGTGTATTTACCATTATCTAATATTATTATTACAATATTCTTATAGACTACACAGTCAATCCTTGCAGACGTCCAGAGCGTCTTGTTTCTCCTCAGCTAACTCCTTGCCCGTTGCGTCAAGCATTTGACGAGCAAAGTCTGTAATAGTGAGTCCCTCAACGATCTTCCACTTGCCATTGCTTACTGTGACTGGGAATGAGAATACGACGTCTTTAGGTGTGCCGTAGGATCCGTCAGATACGACTCCCATGCTCACCCAGCGGTCTTCGGTTCCCAAGAACCAATCCCTCATATGGTCTGAGGCAGCCTTGGCAGCCGATAAGGCAGATGACATCTTTCTCGCGGCGATCACAGCAGCGCCTCGCTTCTGTACAGTGCTTACAAAAGTAGTCTTCAAGAATTCCTCATCATTGATGGCAGCTGGCACTGATTTCTGAACTCCTCCAATCACAGCAACAGCATTAGAGGCATCAGGGAACTGTGTGGATGAGTGGTTTCCCCAAATGACGACATTCTTAACATCACGCACTGGGACTCCCAATTTGGCAGCCAGTTGAGACTGAGCACGGTTCTGGTCGAGACGGGTCATGGCTGTGAAGTTCTCTTTAGGAATAGATGGGGCGTATTTGGAGCAGATCAGGGCATTTGTGTTAGCGGGGTTACCGACTACAAGGACTTTTACGTCTTTGCGGGCTACTTTGTCGAGGGCCTGTCCTTGCTCCTTAAAAATGCGGACATTGGCAGAGAGCAAGTCTTTTCTCTCCATGCCCTCCCTTCTGGGCATGGCGCCGACAAGGAAGGCAGCAGCGACTCCCTTGAAGGCTTCTTCGGGGTTAGCAGTGGGGAGAACACCGGCGAGCAGTGGCAGTGCACAGTCAGCCAACTCCATCACAACACCCTCTAACACTCCCATCATGGGCGCAATATCTAGCAAGTGGAGGTACACAGTCTGTTCTGGGCCAAATACGGCCCCAGAAGCAATCTGGTACAGCAGGGAGTAGGCGATCTGGCCTGCTGCTCCGGTGACAACTACTCTGATAGGTTCGGCCTGAAAAGTTGAAACAAACTTTTTAGTTTATATAAATTATACATAGATTGGTATAGAATGAATTAACTATTCTACCTACAATCAATATTAATAAAGGAATCTAGTTACCATAGTAACAGGTTTATTAGTTACAACTATTCTTGAAACTGGAGTGCTATCTGAACTTGATGAGCCGCAACAAAAACATGACATTTTAACTGAACTGAGCCGATTTTATGAATGCATACTCAATATGAATCAAGCCAAGCAAAGAAGAATGATAAACGCTTATCTGTATGATAAAAAATTAACCAATAATTAAATTCTGATGGGTCATTAGGAAAGGTGGTAAAAACAAAAGATACAATGCTCGGAACATATTAAACAAATGAAATTAGTGATTCAAATTAACTAAATTATAAAAATAAAGTAATAACTGAAATATTGCAAAGTGGCAAAGGTCAATTCAATGTCAATGATTGCCGCAAAATAATGCAAAAATGTACTTACCATTTTGTAGTTTAGAATACGAGTGGCGAACACAAGTTTTAAATAATTATGAATAAATTAAATCTAACAATCAAATACGTTTTCAAGCTGTAAATAGTAAGCTTTTAAAGATTATTTCTTCAGAAAATGACCCTGCTGTTATGACTGATAGTCGGCTGCCAAGTTTTTTATTTATCACAGGCAGGATTTGAGGTTATGTAATCTGTCTGAACGATTCTTCAAGAAGTTGAGCGAAGATAAATAGAGATACAGAATTCACATTCTCGCATGTTAGACAGAGATAGACAAAAAGTCTGCAATTCTGTCTTATAATAATTATTAAATAAATAATATTCAGTGTAATAATTATTATTTAAATATGCAAATAACATTCTGTAATAAATTGTGAGTTTTTTATTATGTTCTATGATGTTTTTTAATTATATCATAGCAGTGGTATTGTATTGGATAAGATTGTTCTATAATTTTAATTTTACTGTCGTAAAAACACTAAAAACTTCTAGTTTTTGGAGGTTGACTGAGTTAACTGAGGTCGACGAATCAAATGAAATAAATCCAAGCAAACTAGTTATGGTGCCAAATAAATGTAGGTCAATTAGAATAACAACATTGTTGCAACTTTTAAAGCAGAGTACAATAATTATGTATTGGAATATTAATTACTAAACTTCGATTCATTTTATGTAAAAGTTTCGAGGAACATTAAATAAAATCGTTAAAATTATTAAAATTCTACTTTGTTTTTTTTTAAAGAGGCATAACGTTTCACGCTTTCTTTGTTTATGACGTCCGCTCAGTAAAAAAAATTAGTTGTCTGCAGAAGTGACATAACACATAACCTCAAAGTTCTTTTTACTAATTTCCATTCCTTGGAAATAATGGTGTGTGTGTGAAAACAGTGAACTAGTGAAAGAATTGATAATTGTTGCGATATTTCTATGCATTAATTAGCGTGCGGGCAAGATGTCGTCGCTACTCAGATCAACAAAGTTTGTGCGCTATTTCACTGGTGCGGCAAGAACGCTGATATTGAACACCGCTAAGACCACAGAAGTTTCCACACTAATAAATCCGAAAGCTCTATCTTCTGCCAATAAGTAAGTAAATGAAACATTTATTCTGATATAACCATTCAAGCAACTTACCATAAATGTAAGAAAAATTAACAGCATAAATAATACCAGTTCAAATAAGTACATGCTCTTTTTCGGTACTTGTAGTAAATTATTTCAAGAACTTGTATAGCATGCATCTAGTTAAAGGTTTAATTCCATTGTATTTATGAGTTTTTTATAACACAAATTTTATTTTAATCTCTAGTGTGCTTATGCGAGATTACGCTACAAAGAAATCGGAGAACCTGGAACCATTGCTACAAAGACTCGACTCTGAGGTTAGACGTTTCGGACGGATCACCAAACGGGACATAGATGAGGTCTTCGACGAATTAAAAGGCAAAAACAACATAACTAGCTCACAGTCATTACTTGTAATAAGATGTTGTGGTAAGTAGTATTTAAGATAGTTTAGCTAATAAAATGCTAGATTTAATGATCCATTGCCAAAATTTGCAAATGCTCTTAAATGTAAGAATTTCAGGATATTCAATTAATGAAAAAAGAATAATAAACATTATTTCTCCTAAACAGGGTTTGTGAGTGTCCTGCAATCACTGGGTCATAGACCTTTTTGTCTCTTATGATTTTCGTATCTGCGATAAACTGTAAATGAAACCTGTTTTGAGACAAATAAATACCTACTTTCTATTCTATTCTATTCTAAACTAAAATTAAAAAATACCTCTTGATTTTAGAGATGAATGTATTAACCGATCGATGCTGATATTCCAAACAACATTGTGAAAATTATTGTGTCTCATACTGATCAGTGCTCATGGCATAGGAGAGGTTAAGAATGTGTTGGATAGATAAGATCAGCACAGTACAAAGAGATTAACTTAGGATGGCTGAATACAGAATTACAGATACAATATCAAGTGATCAGAACCACAACTAAAATATTTTTGTGACAATAAAATATTAATAATTTACGAACAATGTATTTTTATAGGTATAGCTAATAACTAAGGCTGAGTTGCACCATCTTACTTAACTTTGACATACGTCAAAAATCTGTCAACCTCCATACAAAAAGCACTGGATAACGTCATTGTTACGGTTAAAATAAGGCGGTGCAACTCAGCCTAATTATTAAAGTATTGAATTACTATAATTTATATTAATTTGTTTATTTCAAGGGGAGCTAGTGCCCGAAGAGTTGCCAGAACAGAGAACATTGCTGGTACAAAAAATATGGAACATTCTCACAGAAAGAGGCATTCCAATGGACATTTCACACTACAATGCTCTACTCCGAGTGTACATTGAAAATGAGCATCTATTCTCACCAGCCCAGTTTTTGGAGGAGCTTGAGAGCAAAGGCATTCAACCTAACAGGTAGAAAAAATAGTGTACTTTCAGGCTGCACTAACTGTTAAATGTCTACAATCCAAAATACTTAAAACTGTTTAAAAAATTGCTGTCCATTTTGTATGACTTATGATCATAATCCATTATAGGGCCAGAACAGACGGTGAAACGCAACTACAACAAAACTGCAACTTTCTGAAGATTCTTATGAATGAAACTGAAACTTTCAAACTGGTCGCGTCATGTGTGGTCTCTCAATGGACGCTATGGCAGAAACTTAGATGCAACTCATAAAAGTAACTAGCAGTTGCAGTTTTGTTGCAGTTGCGTTTCACCGTCTGTTCTGGGCCTTACTAATCAACTGAAGCATATCAATTTAAGTCTATTAACTCCAGAGCCCCGATTACGGTATTTTTTAACGTCAACAATCCAGACACGCTTCTCGATTCTGCGATACGATTGGTCGTTCAACAGCGTACGTCAGCTGTTTTGACCAATCGTATTGCAGAATCAGAAACGCGTCTGGATTGTAGACGTTAAAAGTTACCGTAATCGGGGCTCTGGGTGACTTTATAAATAGGACTTTATAATAGAAGAGCTCAACTCTATAAAATTAATGTAATTGAATGTCTTCAACTTTCAAACCATGTTTTCAGAGTAACTTACCAGAGGCTTATGTGGCGGTATTGCCAACAAGGTGACGTAGAAGGTGCCACTAAAGTCCTAGAAAAGATGAGAGAACTAAACTTCCCTGTGTCAGAGCCTGTCCTAAACGCTTTAGTCATGGGTCATGCCTTCCACGGAGACACTGATGGTGCCAAAGCAGTGCTGGAAACAATGGCTGGAGCTGGTCTCGAACCCACAAACCACACATACACACTTCTAGCTTGTGGGTATGCTAAACAAGGCGATATTAACAATGTGAAAAAAGTCATCGACACGGCAAATAACAAAGAAGTTTTTATAACTGATAAGGTAAGGTTATTTTTCATATAGTTTAGTTTTTTTTTTCATATCGTTCCCCAAAAGATACTGCACTACCTAATGGATGCAGGACTCGGAGGCGAGCTGTAAAGAAAATAGCGGCGATCACAAAAGATCGATACCGGTCGCAGTGATACTAGGACTTTATTGACATAGAATAGCTGCTCAACACAAATAAAAAAAAATGATATTTCTAATTGAAATATTTATGTGAACTTTGGTGCAATCAGATTGAAATTGATACTAAAGATTGTTTTATTTTTGTAACACTTGTATCACAAGAATTAACTCAGTTGTGTCACTTTTCAGGATGTTTTGGACATCATAGAACAACTTACCCTTGGAGGACATGGCGACAAAATCAATCAATTATTTGGCTACCTAAAAAAGAATGTTGGCTACAATCAAGAAGTTTGCAACCTAGTTTTGAAATTACTCAACAAGGGGCACATTGAAACAGCAAAGGCAATCATGAAAACCATGCCTAAGTCTACCACTGTCGATGACACAATGTTCAAAGGGGCCTTCTTTGTCAAACAGCTCATCAGAATAAACATGGATTCTGAGAAACTCATCAAAGTCTGTAAAGAACTACAAGAGGAAGAATTAGTGCCTAGTGCTTTGTACATTGCCACAGAAATGTCGTTGCAGTTGGGCAAGACAGAATTGGCACAAAAGCTATTTAAGGAAATTCAAAATGAGGGCATGGAAATACGCCAGCACTACTACTGGCCTCTTTTAGTCCAGAAAGGTAAGGAAAACGACGAGGAAGGTCTCCTCCAAATCGTTCGCACCATGTCAGCCGAAGGACTTACCCCTACTGGAGAAACTCTCAGAGACTATGTCATACCTTACTTGATAAATAATAACTCCCCTCAAAATATAATACTGAAGCTGCAAATAGCTAATGTTCCAGTCATGGTGAGTGCTAGAAATTTGATGTTGGAGTATTTAGACGCTGGAAAAATTAAGCAAGCGTCTGAAGTTGCTCTTCAGTATAGACTCAGAGGACAATACGCAGTTTTGACCAGACCATTATTGAACGCGCTCGGCAAGACTAAAGACATCAATTCTTTCGTGTCTATCCTTCACGTAAGCAGCAGCACTCCGCAATCCAGTCAAGAAGACGACATCACAAACGAAGACAGCTCACCCGAAGAAAAGGCAAGCGTAACAGAAGTCGGCCGTCTCGTGAAATCTGGTGTGAAAGTTTTAGCCAAACCCGAATTAGCAGAGCAGCTGCTTTCTGAACTCCATGAAAAGGGTTTGAGAATCAGCACACAGTCAGCTGAAGAAATACAACAATACCTAGATAAGAACATGACCACTGGAATATCTGAGTTGCTGACGAAACTTACGTCGGCTGATCTTGAGCCAGTGATGCTTGAGAGCCCTAAACGAGCCGGGCCTCGGACGGCAGCTCAACTCGAAAAATTAATCGAACAGATCAAGAATAGAGACGGTGAAAACAACATCAATCGCCTACAGAAACAACTGTTACTTGCGTACATAAACGAGAATAATGTGTCTAAAGTTAGCAGTTATTTGGAGGAACTGAAAGCCAGTAACTTCGCATTGAGCCCTGCTTTGCTGGCTCAACTATACGAGTTTTACTGTCAGAATGATGAAATTGATAAAGCGAATGCATGCAAAGCCGATCTTGCCCAGAAAGCGCCAGAGTTCGAATTGAATAAGTACAAACTGGTCCTGATNATCAATAATTGGTAGTTTAAAAAACGAAAATTTAGTTTTTAATGTTGAGTGTAAGCAACCATCTACTTAACCATTATTGGCTGTAAGAACAAAAATACCTGTTTGTATTATTATTATAAAGAGCTGTGGTTTTCTGAATAAAGAAAAATAAAAATAAAAATAAAAAATTAACAAATGTTGTAATACCCCTTTTTTGTTGTTCACTCATTTTCGCACAAAAAAAATAATTTCACAAACGCGTCAGCAGCGTCACTCAAGCGAACGCAGTCGCACATCGCATTCGTCCGAGACAGTCTTGATAACGCGTACGTGAGTGGTGTCTATGTGTACGTGGCTCGAGCGCGCTTAGTATGGAGTTTACCTTCTGTTATATTTTGTGACACAGGTCACAGAAACTAAAGCCTTGGGCAGACCAAACGCGGGGCAGTAGCAGCGCAGTTTGAATGCGGGCCCGCGCAAGTTGTAATACAAGAAACTCTTTGAAGTGTGTCACACCAAATTTGAACGCGGGCCCGCGCTCCAACCGCGCCGCACTGCAGCTGCCGAATGACAAACGAGGCGGCGCGGGTGCGGGACAGAAGCGGCGCGAACGCGGGCCCTCGCTGTTGTATTACTATGGCGGCCATATTAGCATGACACACCGGACGCAGGGCGGTAGCAGCGCGGTGAAAGCGGTTTTCGAATATTTAAATTTTTGACAACCGCCCGCGTTGCTACTGCCTTGAAACTGCGCTGCTTTCAGTGTGCCTCAGCCGCGCTGCAACTGACCCGCACTGCTTCTGACCCGCGATTGGTCTGTGGAAGCCTTAAAGGGAGATTTGACAAGGGGGCGTGGCCGGTGTCGCAGCAATATGCCCAAAACAGAACACATTGCTCGTGTAAGCAATGATGACAGCAGCGACGTCATGTAAACAGTATACATTGCTTGCTTGCGTAGTTGTTGTTTCAGCCGAAAGACGGCCACTGTTGGACAAAGGCCTCCCCCAAGTGACCCCTATAGTAACACATAACAGGAAATTTGTTTTTATAGGGTCACTTAAAAATTAGGCATTAATGGCGAAAACGGGTATCAATCCCTTTCAATGTTATCACAATTACGAAAATAGCCCCACGTAAAGCAATTCACTTAGTAAAACAGATTATGATAATATTGTTGGGAGTAAGACTATGTATTAAACTCTAGATGCAACCCTTTTATTAATTGAAATGTAATATTCTTTTCAGGAAGGTAAATCGGAATACCTCGAAGGTCTGCTAGAAGCTACAAAAGAGCTCTCACACATCGATCGTTCTAACATTTTCCAACACCTGCTGGTGACTTACTGTAAGGCCGACGAAACAGACAAGGCAGTGGGNGAATAAGTACAAACTGGTCCTGATGGGGAATGCTTTGATCAGAGCTAACAGATTTGATGAGGCTATTCAGTTTTTGAATGACAACAAATCAAAGTCTGCTGACAATGAAACGGGCTTCGTACTCAATTCCAAATGCTGGCAAATGCTGAACGCCTTGGCTGAACAGAAGGAAGACACTAAGGTAACAAGATTTTTTTTTAAAAGAAATCACCTGTTACTTTAGTAGTAAAAGGGCTCTGAAACTTTGTGCTTTATTTAATCCTACATTATTTCAATTGAGTCAAACTATTATTTTATCAATACCAAATAAAGAATTCGTTCGTTTCAGTCGAATGACGTCCACTGCTGAAGAAAGGACTCCCCAAACATTTCCACAAAGACCGGTTTTGCGCCAGCCGCATTCAGGCACCTCCCGCGACCTTCACCAGATCGTCGGTCCACCTAGTGGGAGGCCTGCCCACACTACGCATTCCGGCTCGTGGTCGCCACTCTAGAACTTTTCTGCCTTTCTTAGCGGCCACAGCTCTGCGAGCTATATGCCTCGCCCACTGCTATTTGATTTTAGCGATTCTGCGGAAAGAATTACTGTGACCTCAACTAAATACAACTTTTCTTTACAGGTACTGGAACTAACCAAAGCATTGATCGAGAATAACTACATCGAACCTTCCAATGTGATTCTGGGGCCTACCATAAAGGCCTTCCTACTGAAGGGTGATGTGGAAAGTGCGTTGAAGCAATTCGAACACATCTGCAAACAGTACCGGTGCACTCCGTGGAAAGGTGAACTTATGAAGGCGCTGATTATGAAGGAAGATGCGACCAAATTGCAGTGGCTAGCTGATCTTAGCACACAGGTAACGTAACGGAAATATTCCTTTGATATCCTGTTAAGACTTGTGAATAGGTAGTTTTTTAAAGAGTATTTATTTGTGGTGACCATTCGCTACCGTCGACCATCTTAACTTAGCCTACGCCATAGATTTCGGAATGATCCGCTTCCTTTTATCTTATGGGAAAAAACTCATGTACTTCAAAATGCAATCATCAGCGTAAGGACTTGCTTGACTCTGCCTACATCCGAAACTTTTGAATCGGTTATGGTTACGGTTACGGATATTTTTTTATTTCGGATATCCGAAAGTTTCGGTTACGGATATCCATAACATCCATGCTACAGAGCACAACACCATATATTTGCTGAGCGGGTGCCTATTGGCACAGTTTTTTTCTCACCACTTGCTTTAATAGCTTACATATTATGTGTTTTTGTTGTTTTTTTTTTGTATTGTGTCTTTTTTTACTGTGTCAATAAACCTTTTTCTATTCTATTCTATTCTATTCTATTTCTTCTGTTTATTCCAGATCCACGGCGAAGTGAACATCCTCCATGACCTGGTGCTGGCATTCGTGGAATGCGGCCGTCTGCGGCAAGCGCGCCGTATTCTGGAGACGCCGGGCATGCATACACGCATGCGCCGCTTGGACGACGCCTGCCAGAGATACGTTGAGGTGAGCACACAGATCTAAACTAAAGCAGAAACTAAAGGGATGTGACAAGGGGGCGTGGCCGGTGTCGCAGCAATATGCCCAAAACAGAACACATTGCTCGTGTAAGCAATGATGACAGCAGCGACGTCATAATGTACAGTTTACATTGCTTGCGTAGTACTAAAAAATATTCGAACGTCGAGTACTGATGTAGTGGCGCATTGCACATATTTTGATTACTTTGTGTGTGTAAATTTCTAATGCGACACTGAGTTTCGAACTCAGCCTATTAGTTGGCATCTCTCTATATCTCTATGGGTAAGCACGTGAATGCTATAGAAAAATAATTATCACTTGCGTTTATTTATGTTGTGAACTTTGAAGTGGCGGATAAAAATGGTGGCTACTGAGTTATACTGCTTTACTTATGCCCGTTTTCACCATAAATCCTCAAATTTTAAGTGACTAAATTTTGTTTTTATAGCGTTAGGGGTCACTTAAAAATTAGGGATTGATAGCGAAAACGGGCATCAATCCCCTTTCAATGTTTATCACAATTTCGAAAACAGCCACACGTAAAGCAACTTTCAAAAAGTCGTTAAGCTATTCACTTAATAAAAGATTATGTTGTATTGTGAGGAGTAAGACTATGTATTAAACTCTAGATGCAACCCTTTTATTAATTTAAATGTAATGTCCTTTTCAGGAGGGCAAATCGGAATACCTCGAAGGTCTGCTAGAAGCTACAAAAGAGCTCTCACACATCGATCGTTCTAACATTTTCCAACACCTGCTGGTGACTTACTGTAAGGCCGACGAGACAGACAAGGCAGTCGGCTTATGGACCATCCTGCAGGAAGAAGGCGAGATACCCAGCAACCAGTTCCTCATCCACCTCGGAAACCACCTCAAATCCAAGAACAGACAAGTCCCATTCGTGATGCCTGATGAACCAAAGACGACCAAGCCTAAGAAACAGAAAGTCCAGCAAACTCAGAATATCCCGTCAAAGAACCAGATATCAGACCGGATTGAAGCTCTAGTGAAGAAAGGCGAAGCCGTCAAAGCCATGGACGTAGCTTTACAAGCTCTCCAGCGGAATTCGATGCCTAAATTACCCGTTATGAAATTCCTCCTGAAAACTTTAGCGGAGACTGGCAACGTGGAAAAAATAGAGGAGCTGGGAGGTCTCCTGACGGAACAAACTAAGAGGAAGCTGGCTTACGATGACAAATTAACTCTAGCGGTGTTCAAACAGGGCGCAGGCGCTGACCATATAGAAGGCATGGTGGAGAAAATGCAGGCCGCCGCGACCGAAGAAGATTTAGAGGAAATCCTGAAGAAGTTCCCCAGAAGTACCGCTCTAGCGTCCATTATCAATAACGAGAATCTTGTTGCTAAATGTGAGTAGGTATTTCTAAATTATTATTTTTTCACGTGAGATGTAGATAAAAAACGACTTTACCACAATCCATTTATTTTCTTGGGCAAGGCTGATTTTGCAGGTCTGTCTGGGCTTGTTTTAGTTTGAATTTAAAAAGCTTTCGGCAATTATTTATTTATTTAAAACTTACATGCACTTAACACTGTACACAAGGCGGACTTAATGCCAGTCGGCATTCTCCTCCAGTCAACCTTGTTATTGTTACTTAGTCGTTTATGGTCGGTCACCATACTGACATTTGCATACCATTTTTTACAAGTAGTCTTTCTCTATTTTCAGGCCACAAAATAGCCGAGTTAGCCGCATCAAAAGGCCACTTAACGCCCATAAACATCTTATGGATGGAGTACCTTCTCGCTGGAAAGCAGAAGGAAGCCAATGAGATTTGGAACCAGTGGCTTTGCACCGCGCCCAGTCTGCTCTTCAGGAGACTGTTACAAGAGAGCCATAACAAAAACGACACCAAAACGATTGAACATCTTTTAGAAATGATGAAAACAAACACTTCTCTAACAAAAGGATCCTTAGGAAACGTTTATTCCCGACTGATTAATCTCTATTTGGTTAACAACAAGGTTAATGAAGCAGAATCCGCTTTGCGTAAGGCAATCGAGGAAGGCGTTCAAGCCGAGCATTTCAACAAAAACTGCCTGGAGAGACTGAAACAAGTAATGACAGAATCCGGAAAGGAATACAACTACTTTAATTAGCTGTTGTAGGTACGCTATTTCATTGCATTTTATTTTCAACCACTCCATAATATCGTAAAATCAGCGGTTCCAAGTACCTATTCATTTGACTATACTGTATGTAATTAACGAATTCATAATGTAAATTTTAGTTATTAATAAATAAATTATTAGTTAATAGTTGTTGGTTTTAATTTAAATGATCCTTCCAGCTTCACGGCGAAGCACAAAGTTGAGTCGCCAATATTTTAACTTCTAGCTCCTGCCCGAGTCGCTTATACGGCTGGTCTATGCCTACGGCTTCGTGTAGTATTATACAATTTTAGTATTTACAAGTTTGTGTTTATCAAATGGCTATAACAGGAAGATTCGACCATGGGGTCATGTTTGGGCCTATTGCCCAGAGTGCCCAGTTAAAAAGAGGAGCCTGCGGACGCCTTTACATTACACATTTCTGCTACTCAATGTTCATTCGCATTATTTAGACATTTTTTTCTTCTTGCACAACATACCTTTAAAAAAATTATTTGAGCGATGAAGAAAAACAACGCACGTTTATTAATTTAACGATAACGTTATTTTTATCACAAAATATAAATAATAATTATTTATGAACACAGCTATAAAGTGATTTAAAAAAAAAACTTTGGCGCGAAAAAGTAGCGTCATTTTGATTTCTTTCCAGTGCCATTCTGAATTTTTGATATTGTTTTGCTCTTACAAACTTGATGAAACTTGTGAAAAGGCATTTTTATCGGATAGTGAATTAAATAAACCAGCACAATGTTTTACCCAGTTGAATCTTTAAAGCGTGGAGGAAGATTTTACCTGTGTTGGGTTGCCGATTCATGGCCTCTTCGATTTGCAACAATTACTCACAGGCAGTTGTGGTCTCAGGATATTCGTAGAATTTGGTAATTTAGCAATCTATTTTGTTTTATTTCTGACATCATCATTACTATACCAACATCCTACAGTATAACTTTTCCCTGGTTGGGACAAACTTGGCCTTCATTGGTTGGGTTCAAGCTGTAGAACCTGGCTAAGTGGCTACCTAAGGATCTCATTCCCACCGCTGCAAAAAAATGAGAGGTGGGAAGATTCCCATTATTTTATACCGACATGTTAGAGTTACCTACTTATTTTATTGTAGCATCAGCTAATAATTCTGTAGCTATCTCAAAGAAAATAGTGATAGTGCAATGATAGTGAAATTATTACCTTGTGGATTATTTGTGCAGTGACGATCTAATGGAAGTGATGACGAATGAGTCTGGACGACCATCTAACAGATTCTCGCTTCGCCTCAGCTCTCAGCTAATGAGAGGTTTGGTAAGACTTTACCAAAGGAAAGTCACCATTTTCTTGGGTGTGTAAAACCATTTTTTAACCAAACAACTACCTATGTATACCTACATCGTAGATGTATATTTTTATACAATTTTACACTTTTCAGGTGATTTGTGCATGATAAATGCAAATGTTACAAAGAATGTTAACAAAAAGTAAGTACAAACTTTAAAATTCAGTTCAGCAAACATGATACATAATACTTAGGATCATAAAGTTCAACTTTGTTGCTGGCCTATTCTTGTAGATGGAATATCCACGAAGTAACAGAGCAAGTGGTTCATCGTCCGCTGCCCCAACTGCCCCGGCAGACATTGATTATTACAGAGGAACCTGAAATTGAACCGAGGGTTGAAGAAATGATTCAAGTAAGTAAGCTATAATACTTTGCTTAGGTACCTACCCATTTGTAATTATTACATCTAAAGTGGTTGCCTACTAATTAATGCTAAAAAAATATAATTCAATAAGATAACTGGGATGTTAGATACTCTACATGTTCACAAAAATGCCTAAATAATTCCTGGGACTAAATTAAAATTAGGAAAGAGAGATGTGGAAAAGAGAAATGGTCTAAATCTACAATGAACTGGTTCACAAGGCATTTTAAGCGAAAACGGGGAAGGCCACCAAGAAGATGGGTAGATGAAATAAAGGCCACAGCTGTAGGTGGATGGGCAACAGTTGCAGGAGATAGAGGAGAGTGGAAACAGTTGGAGGAGGCCTTTGCCAAAAAAGGCACACAGACAAGTGTCAATTAGAATAATATTAAACTCAATCAATTTTAAACTCTGTATGTCTGAATAAAGGCTTATATTATTATTATTATATTATTTAAATTAAAATTTTGTGTCTATTCATATTCTTACAGAATAGTAGAAATGTTGTGGGGAATATACAAGAGATCACTCTGAGAGAGACTGCCCTGCCTGAAATTATAGCACCAGTGAATGTAAGTAAATTAGTTCAAAATATATTTTTTACATTAAAACTTAGGTACTTACATGTAACAATATTCTTGAAAGACTTAAGTACAATTAGAGTGCTTTTGAATGAATATGGCATTTTAAACACTAGATAAAGATATTATTTTGTAACTTAACTGAATAAACTGATGTACTGTAACTGTTGAATGCTCTGCTTAGTTTGGGACTAGGTAGGTACCTAAGTAGAGTTGATGGTAGTCCAAATCAGAGCAATATCATTACTATTATTCCAGGATGGTTTCGGCGAAGAGAACCCCGAGCAAGCTCTCCAAATGCTCCGCGACCAAACGCTAGAAATGATGCTGGTGCAAGACGCGTCTGTCGCACAACACAGCGGCTTGGAGCTACTCGACGCGACGACCGACAAGTCGCACGACAAATCGCGCGGTGTGCACGACGCGCCGCAAATGGAGCCGATATCGGAGCATGATGTCACTGTTTTTAGAAAATGTACGATCATTAGACCCCACTAGCGATTTTTAAGGGTCGGCTAGTTTACATTTTTATAATTTTTGACGACTTTTATTGTACCACGCCCTCCAGCCAAATGGAGTCACAGTTCACTGACAGATGAGTAGGTTTTAACCACCACATTGTCCTACCACGTTAAAAGCGAGTGCTTGTTTGCGATAAATCGAAGGCAGGGTAAAATATCGGGTGTAGGTACCTATTGGGCAAGGCTATGTCGAGCAGTGGGCTGTTGATAGACAAGGAAATGATATTCAATCTCATATTACATTCTTTCTCTACCTCTACAGCTGTTGGTGATGGACGGATGACGATGGAAGCCCTAGAAAAAGGTAACAAGCACATTCATTTAAGTTTATTAAGCACCTACCTAAACTACCTACTGAAATGTAACCTGGATATCTCCTTTATTCTTCCTTAATCCTTTAATGCTTGTATCACATTCCTGCAGATATTCCTGAAATTCCCGAAATCCAGCTTCCCGATTTATCTGGTCCTCCTCCAGAAAAGTTAGTAATATCATAAATTGCTGTTTTTAACCGACTTCATTATTTTTTTATTTTACTTTTTTGTTTATGTGACTTCTTATTAGCTACAACCCGGTCAAGTTAAGTGCACACCTCGGAATACGAGTCTTTCTCGCACTTACTTATTTTTCTTCCGAAGGCGTCCACTAACTATAGACAGAATAGCTTTATATGGCGTGCTGGCGACAGATTTAACAGACTGAGTAAGGAACTAGATATTGATTTATTCTATACTAGCATACCAGCGCTTAGGCGGCTGCTGAGCGAGCGTTTTTTCAAGCCTATCATGTAAGTTTTTTTTTATCATGTTGTTTATTATAAATATGAGGTAACGGGAACTCTAATATGGTAAAATTATACAACGTGTCCCAAAATTCAAGGATAAGCCGGCGCCGCAGGGTGGACCTAGTCATGACTGCTTTAGGAAAAATAAGAAAAAAAATCTATCTCAATTATTTTTTAAGTTACATGATAAATTATGAAATTCGTCGAAAATTNACTGTTATGTTGGCAGGTTTGACTCTTACAGTACCTAGTGCAAGCGAAAACCGACACTAAGGTGACGAACCTTTTCATTCTGCGACTGTACAACATACCTTTAAAAAAAATATTTGAGCGATGAAGAAAAACAATGGACGTTTATTACTTTAACGATAACGTTATTTTTATCACAAAATATAAATAATTATTTATGAACACAGCTATAAAGTGATTTTAAAAAAAAACTTTGGCGCGAAAAAGTAGCGTCATTTTGATTTCTTTCCAGTGCCATTCTGAATTTTTGATATTGTTTTGCTCTTACAAACTTGTGAAAAGGCATTTTATAACGGATAGTGAATTAATTAAACCAGCACAATGTTTTACCCAGTTGAATCTTTAAAGCGTGGAGGAAGATTTTACCTGTGTTGGGTTGCTGATTCATGGCCTCTTCGATTTGCAACAATAACTCACAGGCAGTTGTGGTCTCAGGATATTCGTAGAATTTGGTAATTCAGCAATCTATTTTGTTTTCTTTCTGACATCGTCATTGTTTATCCTTAGAGGATTTATTAATCTAAGGCTATATCAACATCCTACATTTACATTTCCTAAGCATTTCCCCTGGGTCAAACTTGGCCTTCATTGTTTGGGTTTTAAAATACCTAGTTCAAGTTGTAGATCCTGGCTAAGTGACTACAAAGGATTTCCAGCGGTGGGAATAATCATATTTATACCGACTTAGTGATATTGTAGAACCAGCTAATAATTCTGTAGCTATCTCGAAGAAAATCATGATTGCGCTGGTTGTAAATGGGACTTCTAAAATTATTACCTTGTGGATTTTTTGTGCAGTGACGATCTAATGGAAGTGATGACGAATGAGTCTGGACGACCATCTAACAGATTCTCGCTTCGCCTCAGCTCTCAGCTAATGAGAGGTTTGGTAAGACTTTACCAAAGGAAAGTCACCATTTTCTTGGGTGTGTAAAACCATTTTTTAACCAAACAACTACCTATGTATACATCGTAGATGTATATTTTTATACAATTTTACACTTTTCAGGTGATTTGTGCATGATAAACGCAAATGTTACAAAGAATGTTAACAAAAAGTAAGTACAAATCAAATTCAGTTCAGCTAACATGATACATAATACTTAGGATCATAAAGTTCGACTTTGTTGCTGGCCTATTCTTGTAGATGGAATATCCACGAAGTAACAGAGCAAGTGGTTCATCGTCCGCTGCCCCAACTGCCCCGGCAGACATTGATTATTACAGAGGAACCTGAAATTGAACCGAGGGTTGAAGAAATGATTCAAGTAAGTAAGCTATAATACTTTGCTTAGGTAAAAATTATTAGTTAACTGAAGTAGTTGCCTACCTTGCAAAAGAAAGCTGATGAGCAAGATATTCTGGTTATTAATAAAAAAAAATATATAATTCATTAAGATATTATTATACTTAGATAACTGGGTCATTAGATACTCTACATATTTACTATTACTACAGGTAGTGTGTCCTAAGCACAAAAATACCTAAATAATTCCAGGGACTAAATTAAAATTTTGTTTGTTTATTCATATTCTTACAGAATAGTGGAAATATTGTGGGGAATATACAAGAGATCACACTGAGAGAGACTGCCCTTCCTGAAATTATAGCACCAGTGAATGTAAGTAAATTAGTTATTAAAAGACCCTACATAAACAGGTACCCAATGCTTTTGATAAACAATTATAAGGTCACAGTGTTTGAAATTGAGTAAATTGATATGATTAATTGTTCTGAGAGTCAATCAAGTGTTCAATAAAGTGTTCTATGATTATTATTATTTATTTTTAGCTTCTTTTCTCCTTATTATACTTAATCATTACTATTTCCAGGATGGTTTCGGCGAAGAAAACCCCGAGCAAGCTCTCCAAATGCTCCGCGACCAAACGCTAGAGATGATGCTGGTGCAAGACGCGTCTGTCGCACAACACAGCGGCTTGGAGCTACTCGACGCGACGACCGACAAGTCGCACGACAAATCGCGCGGTGTGCACGACGCGCCGCAAATGGAGCCGATATCTGAGCATGACGTCACTGTTTTTAGAAAATGTACGATTATTAGAGGGCCCCCATACTAGCAATTTTTAGGAGTCGAATAAGTAGTTGACATTTTTCATAATTTTTGACGAATTTTAGTGTACGCCTTCCAGCCAAATGCAGTCAAAGGAGGAGCGAAAGATCGCTGGCAGAAGAATAGGTATCAACCACCACATTGTCCTGCTATGTTAAAAGAGTGTGCTTGTATGCGACAAACCGAAGGCAGGGTTAAAAAATATCGGGTGTACCTATGGGGCAAGGCTATGTCGAGCAGTAGACTGTATCAACAGTCTATCAAGACAAGGAAATTATATTCAAACTCGCATTTTAATTTTTCTCTATCTCTACAGCTGTTGGTGATGGACGGATGACGATGGAAGCCCTAGAAAAAGGTAACAAGCACATTCATTTAAGTTTATTAAGCACCTACCTAAACTACCTACTGAAATGTAACCTGGATATCTCCTTTATTCTTCCTTAATCCTTTAATGCTTGTATCACATTCCTGCAGATATTCCTGAAATTCCCGAAATCCAGCTTCCCGATTTATCTGGTCCTCCTCCAGAAAAGTTAGTAATATCATTAATTGCTGTTTTTAACCGACTTCATTATTTTTTAGTTTTACTTTTTTGTTTATGTGACTTCTTATTAGCTACAACCCGGTCAAGTTAAGTGCACACCTCGGAATACGAGTCTTTCTCGCACTTACAACGCACACCTCCCCGCGTTCGCCCCATTCCTATCAGAGTCGGTGTGACGTCACGGCCGTGCGCAGTTAACTTGACAGCGTTGTACTTTCCGCGTCCTTTAGGGCGTCCGCGGAAGACCAGCTTCGTGACTTGCCCTTTTGAGCATGTCACGATAAATGCTGAGCGGGTTGCCTATTGACACAGTTTTTTCTCACCTTACCTCTTTGTTTTAATAATTAATTTGTTTTTCTTGTTTTTTTTTTTTCTGTATTGTGTCTTTTTTATTGTGTCAATAAACCTATTCTATTCTATTCTATACCTACTTATGGAACTCCTTTATATGTATACGACAAGTCTACACTGTTACATAAACAATACAAGCGATTTGTTAAAATACGTAGGCAAATACAACCGGAGGAGCCACAAATAGAACTGCCGCTAATACCAGAGCCAGAGAAGGAACCAGAAGAACCTGCTACTATACAAAGAGAAGTTGTGGAAATTGAACTAGAGGTACCCAATACAGTAAAATTAGTCCATGTTTACTAATTTAGGCTAAAGACTGCTTGTGTTAATTATTTTGTATTTAAACATCCCTCATCTGGTTATGTCGATGTAAAAAAAATAACTATCACCGGTCCTGGTAGTTCGCAAACCAGACATTTTGCCAGAAGTCGCAAGTTCGAAATCCGCACAAACGTATCTTCAAACATTTCATGAATCATCTATATTTTGTATGTACCTACCTAAGTATTTGAAAGAAACAGAAGTAAGTATAATTAATAATGTTCATTAATCTCTGTATACGTAAACGAACTAAAGTCGCTGACATAGCCCGACGGATTAGCAAGCTGAAGTGGCAATGGGCAGGGCACATAGTACGCAGAACTGACGGCCGATGGGGCAGCAAGGTTCTGGAATGGAGGCCGCGTACCGGAAAACGCAGCGTGTGACGTCCACCTACAAGGTGGACCGACGACATCGTAAAGGTAGCAGGGAGGGAAGAGCTGGACGCAAGCCGCTACCAATCGATCAACGTGGAAAGCATTGGGGAGGCCTATGTTCAGCAGTGGACGTCCTATGGCTGAAATGATGATGATGATGAATCTCTGTATTTTCTGCCTTTGCCTAGTTTTAGTAGCACAGTGTAAAAATATCCTAGGATGTAAGTAGGGTGGGTGTACCAGTAACAAACCGAATAAGCGACATTTTAAAAGTAATTTTGATATTGTGACTCAATTATTACAACAATCATTGCAAAAAAAAGAATTGACTGCTCCTTGTCTATCATAGAATCAAGTAGCTTATCCCAATTTTCTTAATAGCTGTAAGGTTTATTTTTATTTAACAATCAATGTGGAAAGTCGCAATGTGCCTTAGGTTGACCAGATCGTACCAAGTCGTTGACGCTTTTATTTATGACTAATGATTGGTAGAAGTACGGCAGTGCTACCAAACGTAACAAAAGTGGCGAGAATTTCGACAGATTGTTAATATTTTGATGTGAAATTAGAAATGGTGTACTACTGGTTCCTGGCGGGGGATCTATTTTATTTTAAATTCCCATCAACCCTACATGAGAATAGTAATATGATCTATAGGAGCTTGAAGAGCAGCCCCAAGCCAAGCGTCGTCGCCTGAAGAACAAGCTGATCATCGATAAGAAGATCAAGCTCAGCGCCGATTATCTCATCACTCGCATCGAGAACCCGGAGGTCGAGCTGCGATGCGAAGTAAGTGAATACAGACTGTGTGTATGTACTGGATGCCCATCGTCCCTTACATGACTAATGCCCGTTTTCACCATCAATCCCTAATTTTTAAGTGACCCTATGTAAACAAAACTCCTGTTATTTGTTACCATAAGGGGTCACTTAAAAATTAGGGATTGATGGTGAAAATGAGTATTACTCTCTTATCTCAGTTTTGCCACTTTCTCAAAACCACGGGTTTTCAGTTAGCTAGGTCATTTCAAATTTAGCTACACACGTGTCTATAAGTTGAGAACCAATGTTCATTCCTACAGATACGTGAGTTAGAGAAAATAGTAGACAATGGAAGCAGGAAAAAATTTGTAGTCCCAACTCAAATCGCCAAAAGACTAAGATAGGATAGTCATGCGAGGGACGCCATGTCTATTAACATCTCATCTTGGAAAAAAAAACCTGTCAAATGTATTTGTGACTACCCACCCACATAAACATTGATTTTGTTTGTAAATTATTTCGTTTTTCTGATCTTTTTCGTTCCGTCATATTATTATTGTCTCTATTTTCATGGCAATAGTGTGGGATCACAATTTTCACATTTCGTTTTATTTGAGCTGCAAGTAAAGGTGAAATACATTTACGTAACTTACCAAACTTGATTAGTTAATAAGATACGAAGTGAATTTGTAAATTTAAATCTAACGGTTTTCATTTCACAATCTACCTAAGTTTGTAATAAATTGAACCTTTTTTGTTAGTGTACTTATTTAATGGCGGATTTACACTATGCGGAAATTAGCCGAGTCAAGTCAAAAAAACAGAGGAGTGGAGATGAAATTCATTCATTTTTCATACCCACCCCACTGTGTTTTTGACTTGGCTAATTTCCGCGCAGTGTAAAAGTAGCATAACATTCGTGAAGATCATTCCCATTTACGAGCACATTTTCCAGAGACAGCTTCAATGTAATAATCCAACCGCGGCAACTTTCAGGATAGCTCGGACGATATAGTCCAAATCCGAGTGCCGGTAGACACGTATTTCCATCGGCCGGCGCACGCGGGAGCTTACATCCACGGACAGATCGCACTACCGCTCACGAGGCTCTTTCAGAGAAGCCTCGGCGTGTTTAGACCTGCTGCGGACGACAGGGAAATGGAGGTACGTGATTGTAAAAAGGTGGACCGACGACCTGATAAAGGTAGCGGGAAGGCGCTGGATGAAGGCCGCTACCAACCGTGCGATGTGGAAGTCATTGGGGGAGGCCTATGTTCAGCAATGGACGTCTTATGGCTGAAATGATGATGATGATGATGATTGTAAAATATGTGAATAAAGAAGTAAATAAACTGTGTGAAATGAGGTGTGGTTAAGGAAAACGTCCATGCAACTAATAAATTGTGCATGCGTGCGTCAAAACTTGCAGTAACCTACGAAACTGTGAAAATAATGTAACTAGTTCACTCGCCCTTTCGCGAGTGATGCCCAAATTCTTATGTTCTTAGAGTAGGCGCACATCGTTGATTTTTAGTTGACCGATAGTTGTGCCCGATTTCAAATTGTATGAAGAATCGGCCAAATCGAATCGGCGTAGTGTGCGCACTCCCATACATGCCCATACTGATCAACAGCCCGACTAAAACCACAGCTAAAACTATCGGCCGACGAAAAATCAACGGTGTGCGCCTACTCTAAAGTGTGGTGAGTATTGTTGAATCGAAGTCTTAAAATACGTTACAAAAGCTGTTATTATTAACTATCCAGTCAAATTGAATAGGCTTCCAGTATTCCAGTACTTATTTCGTATGACCAGTGCTTTTGTTTTTGTGTGTAGTGCTTATGCTTTTGCACCTGTTCACATACATTTTATTAACCGTTTTCATATCTACAAAAAAGTAGGTACCTACAGTTTAAAGTAGGTTATTATTAAACGACAATCGAGTAAATCTTAGCGCAGGAATAAATCTAAGCCCGTAAGCAGTGACTGATAGGTTTAAATCGAAAGATTTCTGTCCTATTTTTTGTGTGATTATTTGTCTGTATATCAAAATTGTTTGTTTCCCTAATATAAATAAATAAATAAAGATTTGAGTTTTAAACGTCATTTACCCAGGAACCCGTAGCGGAAAGATCTCGCCGAGTTCGCACTAGATCCGGCCTCGAAAGGATTGAAGAAGAAGCAGAAATTCCGCCACTAGACAAAACCACAGCCCAAATTGACCAGCCAGTCCCCGAATTAGAAATGACTCGAGAGAATCTGATCACAGCAGAGCTACTAAACGTGGAGGAACAACCGAACGTGACGATTCCGAACCCGGAAGACATAGCTGACTTGCCCACACAGAAGTTAGAGGTGCTCTCCCAATCCAGGAAACGGACAAGTGAATATGAAGTTTCAGTAAGTTTTTTGATTTGATTTTTTTATGAATCGTTCGTTAATTGGATCGTTTCATCCACGGATTGCTCGGATCAAACTCCCCGCACCCCGCGCTTCCCTCGACAAAATAGGTATTGGTGGGGCGCGTCTTTGTGGATGAAACGATCTATATAGAATTTAACGCTATGTATGCAATGCTGCTAAGATATTAAGTATTTTTTAAAGATAACGTTTATAGGGCTTCTTCCAATAACCGCCTGCTATTTAAATGTTGATCTTATTTCTTTTGGCTTTTCTCGAACTTTCCATTTTGGAATTGCCATTACAAGGGTTTATTTGAGTAACTATGTAAACCCTTTTACCTTTGACTTTTAGAGAAAGTTTAATAAAACTAATTTATGTAATATCGCGTGATGTAAAACCAAATAAAACCCGTAATAACGTTTTCATAGCGCGTGCCTCAAAATATGACCATAGTATGATTGTTTTCAGCCCAAAAGACAAAGGCTGATTGGTTACGTCTCGTTCCGGCAAAGTCAACAGATGGCTATCGAAGCAGTGCCTGATGTTGGTATGTCTTTTTCTTATTGATTTATGATAGTTATCCGCCATAGATATAACACTACACTATCTTATAGGTTGCTAGTTACTGGAGAATTATGTCAAATGTCTCTATCTGAGATATTGTGTGAAGTCTGAACCCAAAATTGTAATTTATTTGCCAATAGATTTCTAATCGCACGCTTCCCACTTCCCAAAGGTTCCCAAAGCATCCTATGGTGTTGGGAAATCGTTGGGAGGGGCCTATGTTCAGCAGTGGACGTCCTGTGATTGAAATGATGATAATTACGCACTTTATCAGTAAACAACCCCGAGTTTTTAACTTTTTGTACTATGTAACTTCAATGTCTCTCATTGTTTTCGTCAATTACCTTACACTTATTTAGCTTACCACGAGGGGCTAACGGGACTATTGGTAATTTGTGCAATACAATTGCTAATAATCTTTTAAAAAAAAAAATTCCCTCACACTTTAGTCACTAACTTATTCTTCCATCCGTCCAAACAGAAGCAGACAAAGAAAACATACCGTCCGCGGCTAACATACAATCACCTGCCATCGTCCCTCCGCGCTCTCCCGAGACCATTCTCGTTGCTATCCCAACCGGCCCCCCACAATCTCCCGAGAGGAGCCTCGCCGTGATGTTGCAAGAGGCAGGCCTGGCCGACCTGCCGGGCCCGAAGCCCGCCGAGGACACCCAGCGGAGCACCCGCGAGGCTAGACACGGCAGCGATAGCTCCGAAACGCAATTAGGGAGCTTGGATAGGACCAAAGTGTCATTGGGAGACTCCGACCAGACTACGGACTCGAGGAGATTCATACGGTTAGTATTGTTAGACACGTAATATTTACAGGTACAAGTGAGTAGGTTTCTAAGCGAGTCTCGCTGTGATGCTGAAAGACGCAGGCCTGGCCGACCTGACCTCGCGACAGCTCTGAAACGCAGCTAGGGAGCTTGGATAGGACCATAGTATTGTTAGGAAACTCCGACCAGACGAAGGACTCTAGAAGATCAGTATTGAAGAGACGGTCAGTATTGTTAGATAGAAATGAAATGTGCATAACTGAGTAGGTTCCTAAAGGGAGTCTCGCTGTGCAAGAGGCAGGCCTGGCCGACCTGCCGGGGCCGAAGCCCGCCGAGGACACCCAGCGAAGCACCCGCGAGGGCAGACACGGCAGCGACAGCTCCGAGACACAACTGGGAATGTCAGAACGATGAAATTGATAAAGCGAATGCATGCAAAGCCGATCTTGCACAGAAAGCGCCAGAGTTCGAATTGAATAAGTACAAACTGGTCCTGATGGCGAATGCTTTGATCAGAGCTAACAGATTTGATGAGGCTATTCAGTTTTTGAACGACAACAAATCAAAGTCTGCTGACAATGAAACGGGCTTCGTACTCAATTCCAAATGCTGGCAAATGCTGAACGCTTTGGCTGAACAGAAGGAAGACACTAAGGTAACAAGATTTTTTTTTAAAAGAAATCACCTGTTGCATTAGTAGTCAAAAGGGCTCTGAAACTTTGTGCTTTATTTAATCCTACATTATTTCAATTGAGTCAAACTATTATTTTATCAATACCAAATAAAGAATTCGTTCGTTTCAGTCGAATGACATCCACTGCTGACGAAAGGCCTCCCAAACATTTCCACAAAGACCGGTTTTGCGCCAGCCGCATTCAGGCACCTCCCGTGACCTTCACCAGATCGTCGGTCCATCTAGTGGGAGGCCTGCCCACACTACGCATTCCGGCTCGTGATCGCTTCACTTTCTGCCTTTTCTTCATCAGTTCTGCCTCGCCCACTGCCACTTGGTTTTAGCGATTCTGCGGAAAGAATTACTGTGACCTCAACTAAATACAACTTTTCTTTACAGGTACTGGAACTAACCAAAGCACTCATCGAGAACAACTACATCGAACCTTCCAATGTGATTCTGGGGCCTACCATAAAGGCCTTCCTACTGAAGGGTGATGTGGAAAGTGCGTTGAAGCAATTCGAAAACATCTGCAAACAGTACCGGTGCACTCCGTGGAAAGGTGAACTTATGAAGGCGCTGATTATGAAGGAAGATGCGACCAAATTGCAGTGGCTCGCTGATCTTAGCACACAGGTAATATAATGGAAATATTCCTTTGATATCCTGTTAACATTTGTGAATAGGTAGTTTTTTTTTTTTAAGTAAAAAACGCGCAGTTAATATTTTATGTGTTTATTGTAGTATTTATTTAAATATTATTTTAGTTGTACTGCTTGGTTTGGGACTAGATTGCGGAGTCAGGCTAGAGGGAAATAATTACCTTTATATTTATTTGTGGTGACCATTCACTACCGCCCACCATCTTAACTTAGCCCACCGCCTTAGATTTCGGAGCTACCCGCTTCCGCTTATGAAATTGGGCCAGCTCTGATCTGAACGAACGAACGTTCGACGCATGCGCGCTACCCGTACGATACGGCTCGCTTGCGCACTCAAGGAGGACTGCTATCTCGTTTCAATGCAGTTCTCCGCTCTCTTAACGCCATAGAAGATGATTTATTTTGAAGTATTTGACATGACACCTTTCTATGATCACTGATACCAACTTCATAATTTCTGTTGCTGCAGTTCTAATTCGTATTACATAATTAATTCGTAATAGATTTGTAGCTTGTGTCATTTAATTCAATTTTCAATGAATAATAATATTTTTTATTCTACCGTTTGTGCTACTAAAAATAATCGTAAGGGAATATTATTATGGGAATCAAATTCCGAGATGCAATACATGGGTGGTTATACAAGAACCCCCATATATGGATATGTAGTTTCGGTTATGGATACGGTTACGGATATTGGAATAATATTATACCGGTTTTGGTTACGGATGCGGATATTTTTTTATTTCGGATATCCGAAAGTTTCGGTTACGGTTACGTATATCTGTGCTATAGAATGCAAATTGCACAGTTTATGCCTTACGAATAGAATGGGTACAGAAAATATATTTTTGGAATATGTCACCTTTTGGTCTCACAAAAAAGCTTTTATCTTATGGGAAAAACTCATGTACTACAAAATGCAATCATTAAATCAGCGTAAGGACTTGCTTACATCCGAAACTTTTGAATCGGTTATGGTTACGGTTACGGATATTTTTTTATTTCGGATATCCGAAAGTTTCGTTTATGGATATCCATAACATCCATGCTACAGAGCACAACACCATATATTTGCTGAGCGGGTGCCTATTGGCACAGTTTTTTTCTCACCACTTGCTTTAATCACGGTAATACTATCTACTTTAATAGCCTACATATTATGTGTTTTTGTTGTTTTTTTTTTTTGTATTGTGTCTTTTTTACTGTGTCAATAAACCTTTTCTATTCTATTCTATTCTATTTCTTTTGTTTATTCCAGATCCACGGCGAAGTGAACATCCTCCATGACTTAGTGCTAGCATTCGTGGAATGCGGCCGTCTGCGGCAAGCGCGCCGTATTCTGGAGACGCCGGGCATGCATACACGCATGCGCCGCTTGGACGACGCCTGCCAGAGATACGTTGAGGTAAGCACACACACAGGCACAAAATATAACAGAAGGTAAACTCATGTATGTACTTCGCTTCGCATACCTGCGCTCGGCCGTCGCGCTAGGGTTGTCTTGTCATGTGTTGCGTTTATTTCGTTATGATAGAAAAATGTAACTTTTAATACTATGGAAGAAAGACAATAACAGATATCCACATTATCCACGTATAATTATGTTATGTTTAGTACGTTTTTATTATAGTAATAGTTTGCAAACAAATACACGAGAAGGAAGTAGTACCTATGACGTAGTATGTAGTTGGGTGGTTGACACTATTATCAAATAATTCCTAAAACCTCTTTAAAACACTTCGATATTCCTCATAATTGAGTTGGATTTCAATTTGTCAACGTTAAACGAACTATTGAAATACAAATAAATACCTTACTTACCTCCCGGAATCAATAANACTTAAAAAATAATTGAGATAGATTTTTTTTCTTATTTTTCCTAAAGCAGTCATGACTATGTCCACCCTGCGGCGCCGGCTTATCCTTGAATTTTGGGACACGTTGTATATCTCTTTATTACAACATTAGGTGTATCGTGTATCGTATAAATTTTATCTGTTTTTATAATTTCTTTAAATATTCACCACAATTCTATCTGTGGGGACCTATAAGTGGTTATCAAGAGTTATTAACTGTAAAATAATCAATTATGTAAACCCTGGTCTTCCTAATATAAATAAATAAATAAATAAATAAATAGATAAATACAACGCACACCTCCCCGCGTTCGCCCCATTCCTATCAGAGTCGGTGTGACGTCACGGCCGCCGGGTGCGCAGTTAACTTGACAGCGTTGTACTTTCAGCGTCCTTTAGGGCGTCGGCGAAGACCGGCTTCGTGACTTGCCCTTTTGAGCATGTCACGATAAATGCTGAGCTCTTTCTTTTAATAATTTGTTTTTGTTGTTTTTTTTCTGTATTGTGTCTTTTTTTTTATTGTGTCAATAAACCTATTCTATTCTATTCTATACTTATGGAACTCCTTTATATGTATACGACAAGTCTACACTGTTACATAAACAATACAAGCGATTTGTTAAAATACGTAGGCAAATACAACCGGAGGAGCCACAAATGGATGTACCACCAGTACCAGAGCCAGAACAACAGAAGGAACCAGAAGAGCCTGCTCCTATACAAAGAGAAGTTGTGGAAATTGAACTAGAGGTAAAATGGGTCCATATTTAGTAATTGCAAGACTGTGCAGGCAATCATTATAAATAAATTGAGAACATCGAAATCGACCTTTCGCTTGCCGGTTGAATGCTCTTCCATCATCGTGGGTTCGATTTCAGGCTTAGACATTTCGATTTTTTTTAAGTTATTTATAATTTAGTTAGAGAAGCGACTCTAAACGCTAAGAATTTTTTATAAATTAGGCAATCATTTTTTTTACTTTTATAATTTTCCAACTCGACATTCGCTGGATTTTAAAATTTAACGGTCGGCTGTCCTAGTGGCTCGCATACTGAACTATTATGCCAGAGCTAGAGGTCGCAGTTTCGATCCCCGCACACTTCAAACATTCCATGCATGACTAGTGGGGGCTAGATGATGTACCTAGTGTGAAAATTCTGTCTATTTTAAACTAGCTTTTGCTCTCGTGAAATTTTGTCTGTCTCATTCAAAAACCGGGATAAAACTATCCTATGTCCTTTTCCGGGACTCAAACTATCTGTAATTTAATCAAAATCGGTTCAGTGGTTTAGGCCTGAAAACGTGACGGAGTTGCTTTCGCATTTATAATATTAGTAGAGATTCCGATTAAAGCCGAGGGGCCGTGCAGAATGGTTACGAATGAAACAGAATGGTCTGGTGCGGATTTCGGGCTACCGATTCGAAGATGACAGTTTGTAGTAGGTACTCACTCATGACCTATCGTACCAATAATGGAAATAACCCTAGATACGCCAATGTACATGCGAATAATACATCCAACATGAGAATAATATTTATCTATAGGAGCTTGAAGAGCAGCCCCAAGCCAAGCGTCGTCGCCTGAGGAACAAGCTGATCATCGATAAGAAGATCAAGCTCAGCGCCGATTATCTCATCACTCGCATCGAGAACCCGGAGGTCGAGCTGCGATGCGAAGTAAGTGAATACAGACTGTGTGTATGTACTGGATGCCCATCGTCCCTTACATGACTAATGCCCGTTTTCACCATCAATCCCTAATTTTTAAGTGACCCTATGTAAACAAAACTCCTGTTATTTGTTACCATAAGGGGTCACTTAAAAATTAGGGATTGATGGTGAAAATGGGCATTACTCTCTTATCTCAGTTTTGCCACTTTCTCAAAACCACGGGTATTCAGTTAGGTCATTTCAAATTTAGCTACACACGTGTCTATAAGTTGAGAACCAATGTTCATACCTACAGATACGTGAGTTAGAGAAAATCGTAGACAATGGAAGCAGGATAAAATTTGTAGTCCAAACTCAAATCGCCAAAAGACTGAGATAGGATAGTTAGTCATGCGAGGGACGCCATGTATATTAACATCTCATCTTGAAAAAAAAACTGTAAAATGTATTTGTGACTACCCACCCACTTAAACATTGATTTGGTTTGTAAATTATTTGGTCTTTCTGACCGTTTTTCGTTTTGTCTTAATGTCTCCATTTTCATGGCAATAGTGTAGGTAAGATCATACATTTTCACATTTCGTTTCATTTGAGGTGCAGGTAAAGGTGAAATACATTTAACGTAACCTACAAAACTTGATTAGATATTAAGATACGATACGAAGAATACGCTTTATAAATGTAAATCTAACGGTTTTCATTTCACGATATAAGTTTGTAAAAAGTTCAAGGTGTCCCACCCAACCTTTTTGTTAGTGTACTTATTTAATGGCGGATTTACACTATGCGGAAATTAGCCGAGTCAAGTCAAAAAAACAGAGGAGTGGAGATGAAATTCATTCATTTTTCATACCCACCCCACTGTGTTTTTGACTTGGCTAATTTCCGCGCAGTGTAAAAGCAGCATAACATTCGTGAAGATCATTCCAATTTGCGAGCACATTTTCCAGAAACAGCTTCAACGTAATAATTCAACCGCGGCAACTTTCAGGATAGCTCGGACGATATAGTCCAAATCCGAGTGCCGGTAGACACGTATTTCCATCGGCCAGCGCACGCGGGAGCTTACATCCACGGACAGATCGCACTACCGCTCACGAGGCTCTTTCAGAGAAGCCTCGGCGTGTTTAGACCGGCTGCGGACGACAGGGAAATGGAGGTACGTGATTGTAAAAAGGTGGACCGACGACCTGATAAAGGTAGCGGGAAGGCGCTGGATGAAGGCCGCTACCAACCGTGCGATGTGGAAGTCATTGGGGGAGGCCTATGTTCAGCAGTGGACGTCCTATGGCTGAAATGATGATGATGATGATGATTGTAAAATATGTGAATAAAGAAGTAAACTGTGTGAAATGAGGTGTGGTTAAGGAAAACGTCCATGCAACTAATTCTGCATGCGTCAAAACTTGCAGTAACCTACGAAACTGTGAAAATAATGTAGTTCACTCGCACTTTCGCGAGTGATGCCCAAATTCTTATGTTCTTAGAGTAGGCGCACACCGTTGATTTTTAGTTGACCGATAGTTGTGCCCGATTTCAAATTGTATGAAGAATCGGCCAAATCGAATCGGCGTAGTGTGCGCACTCCCATACATGCCCATACTGATCAACAGCCCGACTAAAACTATCGGCCGACGAAAAATCAACGGTGTGCGCCTACTCTAAAGTGTGGTGAGTATTGTTGAATCGAAGTCTTAAAATACGTTACAAAAGCTGTTATTATTAACTATCCAGTCAAATTGAGTAGGCTTCCAGTATTCCAGTACTTATTTCGTGCTTTTGTTTTTGTGTGTAGTGCTTATGCTTTTGCACATGTTCACGGGTATTTTACTAACCCTTTTCATATCTACAAAAAAGTAGGTACCTACAGTTTAAAGTAGGTTATTATTAAACGACAATCGAGTAAATCTTAGCGCAGGAATAAATCTAAGCCCGTAAGCAGTGACTGATAGGTTTAAATCGAAAGATTTCTGTCCTATTTTTTGTGTGATTATTTGTCTGTATATCAAAATTGTTTGTTTCCCTAATATAAATAAATAAATAAAGATTTGAGTTTTAAACGTCATTTACCCAGGAACCCGTAACGGAAAGATCTCGCCGAGTTCTCACTAGATCCGGCCTCGAAAGGATCGAAGAAGAAGCAGAAATTCCGCCACTAAACAAAACCACAGCCCAAATTGACCAGCCAGTCCCCGAACTAGAAATGACTCGAGAGAATCTCAACGCAGCAGAGCTACTAAACGTGGAGGAACAACCGAACGTAACGATTCCGAACCCGGAAGACATAGCTGACTTGCCCACACAGAAGTTAGAGCTGCTCTCCCAATCCAGGAAACGAACAAGCGAATATGATGTTTCAGTAAGTTTTTTGTTTTCAATTTTTAATTAATTTAATTTCGTTCGTTAAATAATCTTTGCTTGAGTGCCAATTGCTGCTAAGATATTAAGTATTTTTTAAGACAATTAACGTTTGTGGGCCTTCTTCCAAAAGTCGTCTGTTATTTGGATTTTGATCTTATTTCTTTTGGCCTTTCTCGAACTTTCCATTTTGGGATCGCCCTTATTACAAGGGTTTATTTGAGTAACTATGTAAACCCGAGACATATAGCACTCGACTTTTAGAGAAACTTTAATAAAACTAAAAAAATCATATCAAATTAATCGCCTGATGCAAAACCAGCACAGTATCTAATTAACGGAACGTTTTCATAGCGCGTGCCTCAAAATATGACCATTGTATGATTGTTTTCAGCCCAAAAGACAAAGGCTCATGGGTTACGTCTCGTTCCGGCAAAGTCAACAGATGGCTATCGAAGCAGTGCCTGATGTTGGTATGTCTTTTTCTTATTGATTTATGATAGTTATCCGCCATAGATACAACACTACACAACCTATCTTATAGGTTGCTAGTTACTGGAGAATTATGTCAAATGTCTCTATCTGACTGAGATATTGTGTGAAGCGTGAACCCAAAATTTATTGTAATTTATTTGCCAATAGATTTCCAATAAGCTTCGCACTTCCCAAATGTTCCCAAAGCAGCCTATGGTGGCGCTGGGTGCAGGCCGCTACCAACCGGGCGATATGGAAATCGTTGGGAGAGGCCTATGTTCAGCAGTGGACGTCCTGTGATTGAAATGATGATAATTACGCACTTTATCAGTAAACGACCCCGAGTTTTTAACTTTTTGTACTATGTAACTTCAATGTCTCTCATTGTTTTCGTCAATTACCTTACACTTATTTAGCTTACCACGAGGGGCTAACGGGACTATTAGTAATTTGTGCAATAAAAATTGCTAATAATCTTTAAAAAAAAAAATTCCCTCACACTTTAGTCACTAACTTATTCTTCCATCCGTCCAAACAGAAGCAGACAAAGAAAACATACCGTCCGCGGCTAACATACAATCACCTACCATCGTCCCTCCGCGCTCTCCCGAGACCATTCTCGTTGCTATCCCAACCGCCCCTTCACAATCTCCCGAGAGAAGCCTTGCTGTGATGTTGCAAGAGGCAGGCCTGGCCGACCTGCCGGGCCCGAAGCCCGCCGAGGACACCCAGCGAAGCACACGCGAGGCTAGACACGGCAGCGACAGCTCCGAAACACAGCTGGGGAGCTTGGATAGGACTAAGGTGTCTTTGGGAGACTCCGACCAGACTACGGACTCGAGGAGATTTATACGGTTAGTATTGTTAGAAACGTAATATTTACAGGTACAACTGAGTAGGTTTCTAAGCGAGTCTCGCTATGATGTTGCAAGAGGCAGGCCTGGCCGACCTGCCGGGCCCGAAGCCCGCCGAGGACACCCAGCGAAGCACCCGCGAGGGCAGACACGGCAGCGATAGCTCCGAAACTCAACTCGGGAGCTTGGATAGGACTAAGGTGTCTTTGGGAGACTCCGACCAGACTACGGACTCTAGAAGATTTATACGGTTAGTATTGTTAGACACGTAATATTTACAGGTACAACTGAGTAGGTTCCTAAAGGAGCCTCGCTATGATGTTGCAAGAGGCAGGCCTGACCTCGCAACAGCTCAGAAACGCAACTGGAAAGCTTGGATAGGACCAAAGTGTCGTTGGGAGACTCCGACCAAAATACGGACTCGAGGAGATTTATACGGTTAGTATTGTTGCATGAAATGTGAAAATATATTTTTATGCATAGCGAATAGGTAGGTTCCTGTGTTAGTGGAGCGGTGCGGGAGTGGTGACATGTGATGATAAAATAATTCTTGCTGATATTTCAAGCAATAAATGTACTATGGGCCACAGTGTTAACTATACATTTCTGTTTTTGCTCTCGCTCTCTTCAAATGGCGATTCTTATAGAACGAGACGACATGACTGGCAATGGGCAGTTGACACTGTTGCCGATAGTACACCTTCCTGCACCGCTCCAGTACCCTAGGAAACAACTCAATAAATAAAAAAAAGATATCGATTTACTGTATCATCTTGCTACTTCATCCTTACACTTTTTTTTAATTTATATCCCCAGAGTCCGTTTCGCAAAATATCTTTCAAATTCAAAACTCCCCAGACCCAGAAAGTCTTTTCCCAGTCTCCATTTCTCTAGCGCCTTCTCAATAAGTTTTCTTTCGTAGCGAGCAATGGGGCACAGAAGGCACGATGGTCAAGATCCTCGGCGGTCTTAAGGCGCGGCGCACTCCGCTCACAGTCCGAAGTCTGGTCCGCGCGGGCCCGTCGCTGGCCGGCCACGGCGCTGTCATCGCTGCACGCTGCTTCACCTCTATACTCAGTAAGTGCTTGCATTTTACTATAGCGTACTTAGGTCCGACCTTACAGCTTCTTTGGCAGGCGTGGATCCAGCTCTCAAAAAAGGTTGTGGGCACCAAAAAAATAATATTCTATCGCCTATTACCACATTAGGAAAGGCATAGCTGCATAGGTACAAACCTATACTAATACACTGGTCATCACAAAAATCGACCCTACCGCGACAACCACTTTCAAACGTATGCATCCCCACTTACCACCAATATTGGCACCACTTAAAAGCCTAGTTCTAAACTTCATTTCATTAAAGGAAAGGTATTTACCCCAAAAATGTGTCTGTAGAAGAATCCAGAGTCACTTCTTCAAAAAATAGGTAGTTACGCTTTTATGGCTATAAAACTGTTTTAAGTTGGGATTAATCGCTATCCATCTGTTAATTATTTGGTTTTATAACCATAAAAATTGATCCCAGAGGTGAGCCCAAAGTGAGGTCTTTTTTCAAGTCTCATTTATTGTATATCGCGTTTATGTTAATCGTTTATTAAGAAATTAAATGTGTTTTTCTTTAAGGATATTTATTGGGCTTTCAAATAACACCAATATTGTTGGGGCACCATGATTGTGTCAGTAGAAACGAGTTTTCCTGTAAAACGTAGGTGGGCCGATTTTTGTGATGACCAGTATATTATAACGAAAGTAACTCTGTCTCACTTTCACACCTAAGCCACTGAACCGATTTTGATGAAATTTGGCATAGCGATAGGTTGAGTCCCGGGAAAGGACATAGGATAGTTTTTATCCCGGTTTTTGAAACAGGGACGCGAGCGATAGTTTTTCTGTGGCAGACAAAATTCCACGCGGGCGAAGCCGCGGGCGGAAAGCTAGTTCATAATAAATATATCTTTACCCAGAAAGATTCCATTACATAAGGCTGTTAGTCCTTCATAATCAAATGATTTTGTTACAGAATTGAAACAGCATGGGTTCATAAGAATAAATAAAGACCCTGAAACTTTAGAAATAAGAGATATCCTATTAGGACCTAAGTTTGATCAAGTAAAATGAATTTTGCAACTTTCGTTTACTTTTAATACTAGTGATATAATTTGATACATACTTATTTTCTGTACGTTTGTTACTTCCTTCTACTAGTGTTTCATGAATTGTTTTATGTTAAGTTTTGTGTTTCTTTATTTGTTATGCTAATTAAATGTTAGTTATTTCGAAAACTAGTCTGTTTTTGTTGAAATAAAAAACCAGTATTTGATATGAACAATTTATTTGAATAATTTGTATATAATGATATGATTTCTGTACAACTCTACAATGATAGTCATCAACTAGATTCAAGTCAACTAGATAATTTTATGAGTATCTTAATTGTAGCTAGGTAGTGGCTTAATAATTTACAAAATACTAGAGCGTGAATGAAAGCTGTACAATAAACAGTTGACTTAATTATTTTAGCTAATAATTCCTAACTTATAAAAATACAGTCATAGTCTATAGAATTGGAATTGTTATTAACGTTATTAATTACATTAAGGTACCTAAAATAGGCAATAACTTTTTACATAGTAAGAAGCTTAGAAACAAATATACAATAAGGGCATCTAAATGGAGTATCCCCCTTCCTCCCTTGGTATAAGCATATCACTATTTATTTCATTAGATTTATACAAAATCAGTCTCCTACTATTTGTTACCGAGCTGTGTCGTGTGAAGAAAGTTGTTATGCTATACAAACCAACAATATTACAGTAACTCAGGCAGTCGCGGACTTCGCCGCACTAATAGGACGTACAGCATTGGACGTTTAGAAAACCTTCAACAACAATAGTATATTTATGTATAAATTAATAGTCGCCACAATCATAGATGTACCTTGTGAACCATTAAAATATTAACCGCTAATTAACACTATTTTAATTCCTCATCTATTCTTTTTACATCAGATACAACTTCAAGCACACTTAAGTGTTCACAGCCTTGCTACAGTCGTTCCAAGCTCTCACTCAATATAAAATTAGTTACAGTCTGTCCTTGTAGACTTAGGAATGACAAAATTAGGTTAAATAGCTACCATCATCGGCACACTTCATGTACGTCGGCCCACGAGTGGACGTTGCGGCTGACGGACGCACTTAACTAGTACGGGTGAATTTAAAATTCAGCAATTCATAATGTTATTTACATAACAATATAGATTTTAAATATTCACCACACAAAAGGCATAAACGAACTAAGATAATTTCATACATAACTATTGCATTACATTCATTCAAAATTTTTAAAAGAACAATACAATATAAATTATTATATTTCATAATGATAAAATTATGAAACTACAATTTCACCTATAGGAATATTTATCGGAACACTATTGTACATTAATAAATATTATGGCCCTGATCGAATTGACGCATACACGTAAACAACAAAAGTGACAGTATCACAGATCACAGAAACATTCAGCGACGTGCCTTTTAACGTGGAATGATAGATCTGCTAATGGAATTCGATGCGAAACAGAGATGTGGCAGGAACAAACGAGCGGTGCAATCGTGCGACTCACTATGTACTAAATCTCACAAAAGTAATTCGGAAAACAAAGTCTACCTTCTGTTTTTGGTTAGAGTTCCTCTGCTAATTAGTAAAGATACTTTTGTTAATGCTAAATTGTTTCATCAGAGGATTGAGCGAGTTCACATCCAAAAGACTAAACTCGAAATATTTAACTAATTAGTTGATAAAAATTTACGGCTCGTCATCAGAATCACGTGTCTTAGTAACAGGTTATACTCTAATAAATTTTAGATATTGTGTGATCTGTTGACGACATTTATTCTATCAATCACAGCATTAAATGCATAAAGACACCGATCCCATACGTATGAACGTACACGTTTCACTTCATGAGACAAATCACTTGCGTGGCGTGCGTAGCGGTTTACCGCGTATCTTATTATATTACAGCATAGAGGAACGTGCACGTGCAGCGTATACGGATCCAGCGTTTCGGTGTTCAATTTCGAGCCGTAAAAAGAAAATGCCGGAAATTGACGTCTTTTTTTTTTCGCGCGGCCAGCGACCAAACCTTGTTTTTTGATTACAAAACAGTGTAATAAACCAAACTTACTATGACATGTATACCTCTAAACTCAGTCTGAGTTACGAGCATTAGAAGTTTGACGATTTCACATACTAGATTTGCTTTTTGCGCACAAGTTTTGTAAGAAATTACAAAAAAATGTATGTGTAAACAAACAATATCATCCATTAAAGGCTCCAGACATCATTATGGAGCAGAATCAGTGCGATAAAAAAATAGCGCAATATTTTGTTGCAAATTTTATTGTTAATTTTTAACACTATTTTGTAATTAAAAAACAAAGTTTGGTCGATGGCCGTGCGAAAAAAAAACACGCCACCTTCCATACAAAATCTGGCATTGCCATTTGGACACCGAGTGAAACGGAGAGCAAAGTGACAAAACCTTAGGACAGTTCGCAACTCACTCAGTACGGGTCCAGCGAGTCGCTGGTGTAGTCCGCCGGCGTGTCCGCGTCGGGCTCCCGGCTCATGCTCTCGAAGTACTGTTGCGGGCGGTTGTCCCACAGCGCCTCGTCGTCGAGGATGGATCTCGTGAGCTCCAACGCGAGATCTGGCGCGTAGGTCAGACGATCCGGCGCAGGCAGCGGCCGCATGCGCGTCAAACGCTGCGTGCGCGCAACGTATTCGGCCAGCAGCGCGGCCCGCGCGTGCCACGCGGCTTCCCCGCGAGTCTCCTTGAGTGACTCGCGGAGGTCGTCGGCCCACGCCCGCTCCGGCTCCGGCCCGCTCTGCGACATGCAAGCGAGTTACGCGACGCCTCGGCCGGCGTTCTGTATTGCTCGACTTTTGATCCCCGTTAATCAATAGGGAACCTTTTTCACTGCTTTGTCGCAGCGTTTTACCACAGTAGATAAATCAAACAGTACGGAAGCTTCATACAAACGCTCGAAATCAGACTCACGCACACAGACGCACGCTTTACACGAGCTCTAAGCGAACCTTGCAGTCCATTTTATTGCATGCGGTTCCGCTGTATTTTTAAAAACATGCCACGAGTGTATTGCGTAGTATACGGCTGCTTGAACTCAGCATCTTCAAAACCAGAATTTTCATTTTTTAAACTTCTAAATAATTCTGAATTGTAAAAATGATTAATATTACTTTTTAAATAAAGTACTTACATCTGATTTTGTAATAGTTCTTTTTAAATTACGTAATTACGCTTTTTAACAATTTGTGTGTTCTATTTGATAAAGTAATTTGCTCAGCGCGCTTTTGTACTATGTGATGAACTGTATTTAAAATGAGGCAATAGGTACTATGTGAAAGTAAGTATCCGGTATTTTATTTATGAGAATAGATCTTCTACCGGCCTCTAATAGTACCTACTTAATCAATTTATTCGATTATGTATTCGATCATTATAGAACCTAATTAACGTTTAAATAAGTAAGAACCTTATTAATTTTATAAAGATTAAGAGTGCCAACCCTAACACTCAAGCGAAGTGTAGGTATTTAACTCGCCGAAAGGGCTAAGTTTCCGTACTGCTTTAGCTCATATATATACTGTGGTTTTACGGAACACGATTTTGTCAAGCGCGAGCTCCGATGAGAGCGTTTTTGGTAAAACGATGAAAGATTTTACATCACACGAGTAAATCTTACGTTTGGCAATTAGACACGCCCGCAACTGGTATCCGTTGCGGGTCTGGTCACCGCAGCGAAGACTAGGCACGTGTCATCCGAAATACAAGGCCATTGCCGTACAAGCACACGCTCATAACATTTTAAATCAATTAGCAAGTAGCAAACTAGGTATAGGCACGAGTGTGATCTACGGAATTAACTTCGCGTAAGGTTCCCATCATCATCATCGTCGTGACTCTGTTCGAAAGAAATCCATTGAGAAACAAGTAAAAACTGTGTATTCCACTACACAATTTTTGATAGCATATCATTTGTGATATTAAAACAAATATTCTAAATACGGTTGTTAGATACCTCAAGTTTGTGTCGGGGTGCATCAAACGTTGTCTAGAATCGTACTGCCCAAAATACTCAACAGTGCCATGTGGGAGGCTTCAATTTTGCATGTGTTCGATTAGCCGATTATTATGCGATTATGCCACTATGTCAAAAAAACTAAACTCAAAACAACTAACTGAAAAATACATTCAAAACAAAAATATTAGCAATGTGTTCAGTGGCAAATGGTGATTAATACTTTGTTAAACGCAATTGTAACACTTACCGTCTCTGGCTATCATAATGGTACATGATTGATTACATAGTGTATCGATTGATTATAAATTAATTTTATTTACAGTTAGGTATGATATTATTACGATGACTGAAATTGTATGTGACATTTATTACCAGTTTTCGTATGCGGGACGTCTGTTATATTTTTCAGTTATCGATTATTACAAAAATATAGTGAACACAGCGTTAAATCCCAGATACGATAACTTTTACAAATTAATTTTATGATTAGCATGAACGAAAATTTATACAACGACATGAACTTGTGTGGCGTAAAAATCTTTTTACAATTCATCACGTTATATCATAACAATATACGTTTACAATTCTCCAAATTCGGTATTCGAAATACAATAAAGTTTGGAAAAAAGCACAACATAATAATAACGTCCAACATAACCATAAGAAAAACGGCGAGTTTATAACGAAACTTAAACTAAACTCAGATTTCATACGCAGATTTTTGAGCCATCACAACTTATTAGTGACAAACACAAAGTTAGTCATGCGCGCCGAACCAACACTGAACCAACCGAAAGTAAAACGAAAACTCACTATCGACATAATGGCATACACGTGAGTCACTGTGCACACGGTTAGGGGCTCACGAGCCGGAATCTTTAAAGAACCAGGAGTTCCAGAAGGAGCGAGCGCGCACCTTGTTGTCGGGCGGTGATCTGCGGACGGGGACTCCGGATTTGGGTTCCTTTCGTCCGCGGGCGGAGGAGGCGGATCGCACGGAGCCCTGGGAGGCAGGACGGGGTGGTCTGGGGGCTGCGCCTTTGTGTGCCGTGTGGAGTGGGATTCGCGAAGGACGTCGGCGCGGTGTATCGCACAGGCGTTCGGCGGACGCGGCGCGCGGTAGCGGCAGCGGCTCCATGTCTCGCATGCTGCTGTGGCGCGGACTCGGACTGCGACGTCCGCGCTCCAGTTTGCGGACGAGCGCGCGCGCGCCTTCCAGCTCTATGCTCTTTTCCTCTAGCTGGAATGGAGAAAGAGAACTTTAGTACGAACAATTAACCACTTTATCGGTGTCTGAATGAGGATTTCCGCGATTGAAAAATCTTCAATTGGATTTTGACATATCTGTCAATGTCATGCAAAAATAACCAATCATGCAGCATTTGGACCTCCCGTCAACGTATTGCCATCTGGCGGATTTTTCAATCGCGAAAACCCTCATTGTTGCCACATTATTTTAAACTTTATTGACTTGAAAACATAAATATTATGGTTCAAAAACTAATGAAAAACATTTTTCTCTACTACTATACTGATTAAAGGGTTAAAGAACCCAAAATCTGAAATAGATTTATTCAGGATCGATTATACTTTAAACGTTTAAAAAATCTGTATCGTGCATTTCAGCAGGCAATTCAAAACTTTCATTATCATATTATACCGTTATTTTAATATCTGGCAAATCACGGACCCTTGGTTACACTCTCCATGCTAGCCAGATGGTTGAGAAAGCCAAAAGCTTGCATAATAATTTGTCCCTTAGTTACCCTTTAAAACATCCATAGGAAGAATGGAAATGATCCCATTGTACTTTAGATACCATGCTCAAATCGCATTTTATGGTGGATCTGTCACAGCAATCAAATCCTGAAACGACCCTACGAGAACATGTAACATGACTTACCCTAAATTTAAGGTCTTCGTTGAGATCCCGCGCGCGCTCAAGCCTCTCTAGCAGTACCGTCCGATGCGCAGCCGCTCGTTTCAATCGGTCAACTAACACCTGGAACACAAATAATGTTAATTAGTTATCATTGTTCACAAACATCAGCATGATGCTAACATTTAGAATGAAACAAATGATAAACTGCTACAACACCGAAAACATCAATGTAAAGAATTGATTAAAATGGAGCAATCTTTTCCTAAAAGCGAGTACATCTTTTTGTCTAAACCAGGGTTTCTTAACCTGGGTCAGGCAGAATTGGTAGTTCTAAGTCCATGTTAAATAATGGCTCCACTAAAAAGAAGCATCATGCCAAAAAAACAGTTGTATACTATTTTCTTGTGTAAATGGTATTTTTCCTAAAAACCTTGTTTTTCTCAATCAATTTTAAAGCCTCAATCAGATTATTGCAATTTCTGATGCAACGTATGCGCAACTACAATATGGTTAAGAAACCCTCTATAAAGATTTGAAAAATATCGCTTTCAAACTTAAAAGCCGCCAAATAATGCGTTCATATTTTAAGCATTTCTATGCATCACAAATCATTTAATAACTGCTATAGTAATAACAAAATAAAGGTTTAAAAGTCGTCATTATACCTCTTCACTTCGTCAAGAAAGAGGTAAACTGACTCATAGATAGTTGGCAAAAGTTGTGATGATATCAGAAACGAGTCCAATATCATAATATGCACATAAGCGGCAAAGGAATTCCACAAAAAAGGAATCCATAGAGCAATTAATCGATACGTTGTCCTAGTTATCGATTGATTGAGATGATATTTACAAGATAAATTAAACAAAGAGAGTTGGTGATGTCTAATATCTGCGAACGGTGTTAGTGTTACGACAAGTAAAGCGAGCGATTAACGAAGAAATGCTTATTACTCGTGATATGGCACAAATTATAGCTTGGCAGTTGGCAGTCATAATCTACTTAGCCAGCGACACGATTACAGCCGCAATCAAGATGATACAACTGAATAAACTATAATACTTAATGATAAAATGCATTTCTATAACTACTTCACAACTATAGACATTTGATGAATAATAAATATACAATCACTGATCATACGTACGTCAAAATATATAGGAATGAAATAGATACTTGAACATGAATGATTTCACCGGCGATCCTATGAATAAATCCATTATTTATTATTTTGCTCCATTTATACCGAAAACATTGCTTATTATTAATGTAGCGCTGCTTCACACAATCATCTTTAGTGGCTGATAAATAGTTTGTTCATAATGGACCTTCAGAGAAAGGGTCTCTAAAGGTTCCAAGTCTTTTGTTGGCAAAGCATAGTCATTAAATACAGCGGTAGTGTATGGCTGTTAGCGGTGGCCTACAGAAGCGGCTATGAAGGGAGTAGGACAGCGATTAGCAGAGGTTAATCGCGTTATGACCGTTCAGCAGTTATAATAACGGACTTGGGAACTACTGCCACTCTTGGTTGCCCCACTGACTTCTTATTTCTAGGAAGTTCCAGCAATTATCCGTATTTTAAAGCGTTGCGCCAACTCGAATGACTCAGGCAGAATCATTAAAATATTTTAGTGGACATAATTGAGGAAAGACCCCGTGGAACGAAATTAAACATTCAGATGTGACGTCAGTTGAATCTTATCGTTTTAGAACGCACTGATTGCATGTACTAAATGACCTTTGAGTGTGTATGTATAAATAATGAATGGTTTTCATTTATGATGAGCTGGGAAAACGAACACCTGGATTACTTATTTAACCACCTTCCATCATATTCGCAATCGCAATACTAGAAAAGATTTACCAACTCTTGAATACCCTTTGCTTATGTGTGCTGGCAGGTCATGAAATACAACAATAGAATTTTATGTTACAAAATATAACTGAATATTTCGTTACTATAATTAGTAAGTATGAAATTTTTCAGATACAAGGTGTGTGTGATAAAAACGAAATGGGATACAGATAAGGGTAATGAGCGAGTCGAATCAGTTATGTTTCAATCAATACTGTACTGACTGACTACCCAAGCGTTCGCCACTATATTAATAATTGGACACTTAGTTAAAAGGCCTTTCTAAAACCAAGGGCAAAGGTTCAAGTACGTAATAAAATTTAACAATATTGTGTGGTAAATTGGCTAATGTAGAAAACGTTACTCAGCGCTATCTAAATATCAGCACAAATATTTGATTAACGCAAAAATATCTGGCCTTGGTTGCGCACCACTTATCGATGTTAGTTAAAGAAAAAAATTAGGTAGTATTGTAGGTTGTATTTACAGCCAGGATTTAAGTGAACAAGGAAACGTTTAAAGCGTGATACGGTCAATCAGTATAGGCCAAGGTGTTATAGTGACGCATAAACGTTCAAATAAGGTGTTTCAAATGATTTATGTTTGTAATAACGGAACGGTGACGCAATGGCAATATTTGCAGATAATCGCTGCCAAGGACGCCTACAGTTGCAATCGCCATTAAATAAGCATTCAAACCGCTAACAATAGAGTTACTAACTAGGATTTGGCTGTAAAGGCTCACACACACTGGACTATTGTGGATTTCTATCAACTAAGCGCGAAATAAGTCAATTAAATTCAACTGTCACTTTCCCATTCTTATTAGATAAACTGTCATACCAGTGATACTTATTTGTTTTTCTTTGATTTATATGTCAATTTAATGACACAATTAATTAGGATTGGAGTAAGTAGGTACAAGTAATTGCCACTAATTGCAAGATTTTCATTATTTCNATTATTTCTTAATGCATTTATGTGCATCAGTCATATATTCGGGTTAATCGCATCGGGCAAATTACTGTACGCATATTTATATGGTTTTCACAAGAGATAATGCTCGTGTTAAATAAACATAGAATTATAGCATTTACAAACCGAGTAAGTGCAAGAAAAGTGAGGCACTTCAAACTAGACCACTGGCTTATTTTTTCCATACGTTCTGACAGTTGACAAAGCCAAACAATGTAAGAAGACATTGGATGGAAAATATTTTTTGCCTCACTTTAGTTAGACGAAGCGGTTGCATGATAGATAGTATGAAGACTATTTATGAGCATTTTGCCAAAATATGATCATGTTTGAAGGGTCTCTTAATTTTTACGGCTGTTTTTGTGATTGCAAATCGTTTGCAATAACAAGGAGCTATGTTAGTGTAGTGAAGTCTTAAGAGCGTTTACGCCGATTGGCGCAAAAAAAGTACTTTTTCAACTCGTTACAATCATTAACCAGTAATATTACAAATATGTTATAGGCATAAATAGTTAGGCAATTTCGTCGTCTAAANATTATTTCTAAATGCATTATGTGCATCAGTCATGATTATTCGGGTTAATCGCATCGGGCAAATTACTGTACTCATATTTATATGGTTTTCACAAGAGATAATGGTCGTGTTAAATAAACATAGAATTATAACATTTACAAACCGAGTAAGTGCATGAAAAGTGAGGCACTTCAAACTAGACCACTGGCTTATTTTTTTCATACGTTCTGACAGTTGACAAAGCCAAACAATAATGAAACTTATGTGAGAAGACATTGGATGAAATATAATTTTTGCCTCACTTTAGAGTTAGACGAAGCGCTTGAATGATACTTATGAAGACTACTTATTTATGAGCATTTTGCCAAAATATGATCGCGTTTGAAGGGTCTCTTCATTTTTGCTGCTGTTTTGTGATTGCAAATCGTTGCAATATCAAGGAGTTATGTTAGTGTAGTGAAGCCTTAAGAGCAGCTCGAGTGATCGCCACACTCCATTAGCCTTATTTACTGTTCCGCGTAATTTGAAGAAATCCCTCGTTACGTCACCCCGTTTGACACTGCTCGTTACTGCAAGCTTTCCGCAGCACTTGTTACCTCAGCTATTCTGCAATTAGCCATCAGGTAATTTGCGAACACAAAAAATCTGTCAAAAATTCAGTTGGGTCGTTTGCGTTTGACGTTTCGCAATTTTGTGCTCTCGTTACTATAATGATCGCGAAAATAAATCTGGGCTGGTTTGTGAAATTTATTGTGCTGTCATTTTACTGGCTATAAAAGGATATAGAATTAAGAAACAAATGGCTGCGTCCATAATATCGTACCTTAGCCTCATTGTTTTTAATCTCAAATACTGATTGATATTGAATTAGCCCTTGAGAGACCTTGGGAGGTTTGACTTTCCCATTTAACACTGATCTTCCGTATAGTAGCGTATTATCAACTGTGAAAATGTAAAGAAACGTCACGCTGAGCGCTTGTAGTAGTGCACTACAAGAATTCTAGTAAACTGAAATAGGTATCGTCAAAATTGCAAAAGAGGTGACCGACGTATGCAGTAATAATCATTTCAATTACCAAATGGGTCGATAACTGTCGCGTCCAGTGCATGAAACAATTCGCGCTCCACCGTTACGTTCCATACGCTAATTGATTAACTTAAACGGCGCTGTCACGAACAGAATCGCACACTGATCAATTGTACTAACAATTTTTATTGTTGTTTGATCACGAGTCGGCTCATAATTACTAAGGAACGTAGTTTCTCAATCACATCGGCTGAACATAAAAAATAATAAAGAATTTACAAATGCCGGTAGAGAAAATATAAAAAACCTAAGATTATTTATTAATACTTTGAAGTCAGTGTGGTGCCAAATTATAAAGCTGATGTACCATATTACACATAAGAATTTGCTTTTTAGTCACTTCAGACACAAAAAGAAGGCCCGTAATATTTATTATTGTGTAACTGTTTGTTATTATTGCAATACGACATCTGTGGATTGTTTATAGTGTCTAGCTAGTAAGTGAGTGATGAGAATTGTCACTAATTTCTTCTAGACTTGCGTGGCCACCCACGGATCAATAAAAAGTATTGTTGCGTATTTTTTTCTCAATAAAATGCACCAAAACTGCATTATTATATTACTGCAACTTGTGTAAAAAATCATATTCGATCCCATATTAGTAACATTATAAAAAGTTGTAGTATGTAAGTACCAGAATCACCCCTTTCGGATCGGACAGGTCCAATACTGTAAAGACAAACCCCGATTGTGTCATAATCTAAAGACAAACCCCCATTGTGGCATAATCTAGATAACTTATGCCCGTTTTCACCTACCCCTATGAAAACAAAATTCATATTGTGTTGCCATATGGGTCACTTAAAAATTAGGGATTGATGGTGAAAACGGGCACTAGTTTCTTAGACTCCCTGCAAACAGCAAACTCCGTTAGTAGTTAGTCGGCATCCAATTTGTACGAGGAATCATAAAGCGAAGCTCGATAAACTTTCGTCCAATAAAAAGTCTGTAATCTACGGGGTGTCTTAAAAAAGAAACAAAAACCAACGCCCCACTGACCTGATTCTGAACGGTGGACGTCAGCAACTGGCGTTGCAGTTCGACGGGATTGCTCTCGAGGAGAATCGCCGCGAACTTCTTGGAGTCGGGCGTAGCTACGAGTGGCGGCGGCGCGGGCGTGTCCAGCGCCGAGTCCAGGCGGCCGAGGGGAGTCCGCGGGGCCGACGCGGGGCTTCGGGCCGCTTCGGCCTCGAGCTGGGCCGCTCGCGCGAGTAGCGCGTCACGCTCGCAGCGCAAACGTTGGAAATCGCCGCACTCGCTGCAACCGCCGGCGGCTGGGGATTCGATGAAAATGGATATAATTATTTTTTTTATTTTGCACGGCTCGTTCAGTGATTCGTCCCACAACTCGTTCAGGCCCAGTGGGACGAAACACTGAATAAAAAAAATCGTTCTGGATCCGTCCCAGAGTATTATCAAAAATGCAATAAAGAGACGAGTAGAAAGGAAAATGAAAAGAAATAATTAAACAATTCAAAGATAAAAAAGTAAAAAGTCCCCAACTCAGCATACTGCATAGTTTTTTATTGAAGCCGAGAGGCATGTGCGGGGCTTTAGTTTAGCCGAGAATGAGAGAAAGAAGTCAATTGTTGTTCGACTGGATTATTCTGACCAGTAATGCGATGCATCGCCCCGTAACGGATATAGGTACTGAATTATATTATTTTTAACTACGCAGTGCAACTGGCCACGTTTGTTGTTTATGCTGTGGTGTGTTCCGCAATGATGGACATCAGTTGAATAGAAATCTATCAGGATTCGTTTTAAATATCGAATTCATGAAAATGTATCATCAAACGAAATAAAGGTTACTTGCCGCTGAATGTACAGCATTGCGTCACCGCACCAAAAATAAGCATCAAACCAGTTTAATAATTGCATTCAGACCTACTTAAACCTTTTTTTGGGTGGACAGCCTGCAAGGTTACGCTTGCAAGCATTGACCAACATAGACTGCGCTTAAATAGAATTGCATTTCAGCGTGCATTTGTTTCAAGGTGGGGCTTTATATGGTGTTGTTTTTGGAAACCGGTTGAGTGTGGATACCTGACAGGCTAAAATCAAGTGGCAGTGGGCGGGGCACATAGCTCGTAGAGACGATGGCCGTTGGGGCAGAAAAGTTCTCGAGTGGCGACCACGGGCTGGAAGACGTAGCGTGGGCAGGCCTCCTTTATGGACCGACGATCTGGTAAGGGTCGTGGGAAGAGCCTGGATGCGGGCATAGAGTTGCCAGGTCCAAAAACACAAAAGCCGGACTCTGTGCTTCATTTGGCCGGACAGGCAAGACAAGACAATATTTGGCTGGACAATTCCCTAAAAGGCCAAACATGTCCGGCTTTGGTGGAGCATTTTGCCGCATCACTGTACACATGTGGTATGCGGCGCCGCAATACGGCACCGTCTCGCTCAATCGAAGTGCGGTGTGCCTGCGGTGCGGCGCCGGAACGCACCGTCTGGCATATCATTGATTTTTAAATGCAGGACGCCGCAGTGACATCGCTCCGGCGCCGCGCCGCGACCGCACCGCACCGTGTGGCTTCTCCCTTACCTGACAGGGCTCTTGCGAAGGATTCCTCCGCGGTGTCTGCGGAATGCCGCTCGTCGAGCTCGCCTCGGAGGAGCTCGGCCTCGTCTCGCAGACGGACGCCTTTGCGCTGGATGACGTCGAGCAGCGCCCACAGCTCGTCTTCCAGCGGCCGCGAGCGCGTGGCCGAGGCTGACGCTGATGCTGACGAGGAGTGCGCGTCTTTCCCGCAGGACGTCTCCGTGCTGAAGCCGGAGTCCTGTTGAAGAAGTGGAGATATTCCTGTATTTTGCTACGGACCGAAGACATACTTAATTGGGTTGCTGACACCATTAACCAAGAGTTCTACCTCTACAAACACAGTTTTCAATTGACACCCGGCACCCGCGTGCACTGTTCATAATAGCTTTCGATACAGAACAGCGTTCTGCTCACTCAAGAGCAGGGTAAGCAAGATGACAATCGTGTAGCGCAAGCCCGTGCGCCCGTTGTGGACGCACCTTTAGAGCTGGAGGAGATTCGGGATGTCTTGACCCGGCTGATAGTATCAACTACCCAATATTCATCACACGTTGCAGACGATCTACCGCGCTCCAATTGCGCGAGGCACTTATGCGTGGACCCGGCTAATGATGTCAAGTTCGCAAGGTTACACGAAGCTAGTCCAAGTTTCAGTAAACTTGCCTGGACAGAGGGCTGTGGCTTGGCTCGCGAGGCGTCCCCGCCAGTCCCAGACACGCCGCGCGCCGCTGGCCGGCGTTGACGGCGGCATCTTAGAGCTATCCTGCTCACTCAAGAGCAGAGTGAGTGAGATAAGAGTGTCACGCGGACCCGTGTGGTCGCACCACGCACCTTTAGAGCGCAGGTTCGGGAAAGTCTCGACTCGTTTAACATCAGACGTTGAGGACGATCTACCGCACTCCAATCGCGCGAGACACTTACTCGTGAGCGTGGACAGTGGACACGGCTAATGATGTCAACTTCCCAACATACAAAGGTTACGCGAATCTGGTCCTATAATATTGCTATCCTGCTCAATGTCAACTTCCCAACATACAAAGGTTACGCGAATCTGGTCCTATAATATTGCTATCCTGCTCACTCAAAAGCTGAGTGAGCAGGATGACAAGAGTGCCACGCGGACCCGTGTGGTCGCACCACGCACCTTTAGAGCGCAGGTTCGGGAAAGTCTTGACCCGGATAATGGTACATCAGACGTTGGAAGATCCACGGCGCTCCAATCGCGCGAGGCACTTACTCGTAAGCGTAGACAGTGGACACGGCTAATGCTGTCAACTTCCCAACATACAAAGGTTACACGAATCTGGACCCAGTTGTATAGGCACAAGAACCATTCTCACCTGGACAGAGGGCTGCGGCTTGGCGCGCGTGGCGTCCCCGCCGCCGCCGGCCAGCTTGCGGTGCACGCGCACGCCGGGCTCCCAGTCGCGCCGCGCGCCGTTGGCCGGCGTCGACGGCGGCATCTTAGAGCTATCCTGCTCACTCAAGAGCAGAGTGAGCAGGATGACAGGAGTGCCACGCGGACCCGTCTGGACGCACCTTTAGAGCGCAAGTTCGGGAAAGTCTCGACCCGGTTAATGGTACATCAGACATTGTGGACGATCCACCGCGCTCCAATCGCGCGAGGCCCTTACTCGTGGGCGTGGACAGTGGGCACAGCTAATGATGTCAACTTCCCAACATACAAAGGTTACGCGAATCTGGTCCTATAATATTGCTATCCTGCTCACTCAAGAGCTGGATGAGCAGGGTGACAGGAGTGCCACGCGGACCCATGTGGTAGCACCTTTAGAGCGCAGGTTCGGGAAAGTCTCGACCCGGTTAATGGTACATCAGACATTGTGGACGATCCACCGCGCCCTAATCGCGCGAGGCTCATAAGCATAGACAGTGGACACGGCTAATGACGTCAACTTCCCAACACACAAAGGTTACTCGAATCTGGTCCCAGTTGTATAGACTCAAGAACCATTCTCACCTGGACAGAGGGCTGCGGCTTGGCGCGCGTGGCGTCCCCGCCGCCGCCGGCCAGCTTGCGGCGCACGCGCACCCCGGGCTCCCAGTCACGCCGCGTGCCGCTGGCCGGCGTTGACGGCGGCATCTTAGAGCTATCTTGCTCACTCAAGAGCAAAGTGAGCAGGATGACAAGAGTGCCACGCGGACCCGTGTGGTCGCACCACGCACCTTTAGAGCGCTGGTTCGGGAAAGTCTCGACTCGGTTAACATCAGACGTTGTGGACGATCCACCGCGCCCTAATCGCGCGAGGCTCATAAGCATGGACGTTACGCGAATCAGAGGTGGAATTGTGTAAAGCAATCGTAATCATTTGACAGTTCATAACGTACGATAAAGTCAGTTAAACAAAGCGTTTGACAGAATAATCGTACGTTATGAACTGTCAAATGATAACGATTGCTTTACACAATTCCACCTCTGGTCCCAGTTGTATAGGCACAAGAACCATTCTCACCTGGACAGAGGGCTGCGGCTTGGCGCGCGTGGCGTCCCCGCCGCCGCCGGCCAGCTTGCGGCGCACGCGCACGCCGGGCTCCCAGTCGCGCCGCGTGCCGCTGGCCGGCGTCGACGGCGGCATCTTAGAGCGCAGGTTCGGGAAGGTCTCGATGACGAGATCGCGAAACTCGAGTAGGGCGCCGACCTCATTCTGGAGTTCCTGCGGGATGCAGACTGGTTGAGAGAAAGTTGGAAATATGTGTCAATATTCCAGATACAAAGCCAACTATTACTGACACATAGCTTTTGACTACCGATTTGTAACCCGCTAATGTGAGAAAACACCTCTTTTGAATGTGCTGAACATACCTGAACAAATTGAATATTTTCAGTCTCTCTATAGGCTCTGCAATCTAGAAGCTGTTCTTTCCTACATCTACTGTTATTGCGAGTGCCCACAACTTTGTACGACTGTGAAAATCTTTAATCAACCAGCCGTATTGTCATGATAATAATTATCATGTGTCTCTACGAACTACTTTAGGTTTATCGAAAACTCTTGTAGTGTCCCAGTCAGTAAAAGTTAAAATAGCTAAAATAAAAGTAAGTTTAAAAGGGGCACTAGGAATTTTTTTTAAAGGTCCCTTTCCCTAATAAAAGCATCACGTTCAACAAACGTGTCAGTTCGACAGGTCATTGAGAGCTTAACAACTAAAGTTGGGCAGGCACGTCAGAATTAATCATAGTCAACGCTTGACAGGTGTTGATGGGAAAAGTTAAACTGACTCCGTCCGTGATATTGGCGGTCTTGAACGAGACAGGTCAAGGGAAATAGTACACAACTTCACATTGTAGTTTTCAGCACATGTACACTTTAATTAGCTGTTACAAAACAACCTGTACGGTGTGCAGTTAATTAATCATTTGAGTTTATCTAATGCGGCATTCGCACACTTTGAAGTTTGAAATTGATCTCGCAGAATTACGATTTGCATTCAGCTCGAAGCGAGGTGTGCTACATACATTGTATACGTCTACAGATATTTATTACTCTCCGACTTACAACTGAATCTAGTAACTTGGGAAATTCTTTAGGCGACTCCGTAAACATTCTTAAAACATTTTTAATTCTACTTGCTTTAGGTCAATGTTGTGGCTTTGTTAATGTGAATGATAGGTAGGGGTACCAAATAAAGACTTGAGGCCGTGGCCGGGAATCGCTCCATTTTGGGAAGCTTCAAGATTCTAAATGCCTATTGTCTTTAATAATCTCGTATTACGAAGCGACAGACGCCTAAAAGTTCGTTCAAAACTGTAGGCTGAGTTTCAATATTTAGACCGCTCACAAGTTTATATCCCTTCTTGAAATTATATTCACTTGCGCGTCATTCCAAGACTTGAGTCAAAAGTTCTGAAACTTAACTTCCTAGGCCCTAGCTATAAATTTTTGTTGCAAGATAGCTTCTTATTACAAGTACGTAAGATGTAACCAAGCAAGTTGTAGCAAGCTGAAGTGGCAATGGGCAGGGCACATAATACTACGCAGAACTGACGACCGATGGAGCAGCAAGGGTATGGACTGGCCACGTTACGGAAAACGCAGCGTGTGACGTCCACCCACAAAGTGTTCCGACGACTTCATAAAGGTCGCAGAAAGGCGCAGTGGACCACGACCTCATAAAGAATCCCTTCTTTATGAGGTCGCGGTGAATGCAGGCCACAGGGCGATGAGAAAATCATTGGGGAGGCCTATGTTCAGCAGTGGACGTCCTGTGGCTGAAATGATGATGAGGATCTGATGAAGATGTACCAACCTGTAGAGCAACGAAGGACTTAGCCTGCTCCGAGATGAGGTAGTGGAAGGGTCCGGGGGGCGAGCGCAGCTGGAGGCACTCCATGCCCGACCCGCCCGAGCCTCCGCTGGCGCTGTCTGCACCGCCCGTCTGGAAACAACGATACACTGGTTAGATTTTATAAAAGGAAAGGTAAAAACAAGAGTTAATACGATCAAAAATGAGAAATCCTTTATTTTCTTCTAGTAAATTGGAGAGTTGCTCCTGCAGTAGAGACTAAATGACCTGATGATGATCAAAATGTACGAAGGGTATTCATTCATAACTTTTCGTATGATTCCCATAAACTAGACTTGGTAGATTTGGTCGTTAATGTAACCATGACAATCAGATTTATACCGCTGGTATTGCTACTACTACACGTTACATCTATTTTGGTGATGTTTCACTACTCATCGTTCCAATTTTAGTTCCTTTGAAAGAACTCTTCCTCTTGGTGTAGTCAAGTTTTTTCTTATAAATTCGTTATGGGTCATATAAGTTTATGTAGTCAACAGAACTGATTTAAAGATAAATGTGCCTATAACTGTCCATCAGTCGGTCATGAATGACACGAGGGTCACAAGTGATAATGTATTGGCCCAGTAAACCGGCACAAGACCGGCATAGCTAACGACACTGCGTTCGTGACAACTCCTATTTCCAATGTTAAAGCAATTTTCCGCAAATCCAATCAAATGATTAACTCCGTCCACCAACCTGTTGACCTGAGCGGACATAAACAAGATGGATGATGACAGCACAAGACTTAGTAAAGACAGCCATGAAATTATTAAAACTGCCTTTTTTGTTCATGTACTAGCGACCAGATCATTGTACGTAAATAAGGATATAGCGTGATGATAAATAAACTAAATAACATAATTGGCACAACTAAATTGAACGATGCTATAATGAGTACATAGCAAAAAATTCTAGAAACAAAGCAATAAAAACTAGTTTTAACAACATTTATGAAGCAGTCGCAACATTTTTTGTACAGATTCCTAGCACTGCTTGTATAAGTAAAGGGCTTAGCGTAATAGCTTTAAAGTTACATAAGGGCATAAGAAGGTAACCTTAGTAATACATATTACTCCAGAGAGCATCGCAATGTGGCCAAGATTCTTCAGGAATGTTGGCAAAGGGACTCTTCTCAGGCCTAATTGTGTCAATTAGTGATTTTCGTTTGTTCTCGTTAAAGTCGGCGTCGTTCTTTTGTTATATAAGAACATGAACTACTGTGGCGAGCTGTTCATGTAAGCAGTGGTTAGTTGAGCAGTAGTGCTAGTGGCAGCACGAGGCACGACAAAATAGTGTCGCGGTGTTCCTGAGCGTAAAATTGCGACACGGCTGAGTGCGCGCGCCCGGACGGTCTCTCTTCCTTCGGCCATTGTGCGTGTTGCATTATAAAACCCTATTGCCAAACAACTTTTTGTGTTCCGTGCCGAAAAACTGACACTTATGGCTAGATTACTCGTTGATTGTGGCTTCATTTTGGTACGGGAAACAGCTGAAACTGTGAACTTCATCAACGCGTTCATAACGTTCCACAAGCATAATCTTTTATGTTTGATTGTTATATTTAAGGTTTCTAATTTCTCGAAAGATTTAGGCCATTAAACGCACGTAGAACTTTTTGTGCCAACTACAATAGACACAAGCCATTAAGGCCACTAGGTGTTTGCATTGTACTCGAATTCCTCTATTGTAATCTATAGGTTTCTGTCATTAGCCTAAAGGGAGTTGACATACATAACCTGAGAAGAAACAAACATACCGAATTGGGCTAGAAAGTGAAATGCTTAAAAGTTGTGTTTATGTATTTTGAGGAACATAAAACCCAATGACTAATTGAACTGAATGATGATCATGATTTTCTTTAGGATCCTATGATTTTTGTTAAATTAACCTTTCGCTGAAATTCAGAAATACAGGCAATAGAAATAAACTTAGGTATATGAGATTCTCAGGAGAATTCTTCACCCATAGAACCATTATAAATAAGAAATAATAACAAATTCTTGTGTCCCTTCTCCCTACGTTGAATCTCAAAATAGTTGAAATTTGTATGGTCAATATGCCAGTAGGTAAATAAATCATTAATCACGATAGATGATGCAAGTCTTAATCGCAGATTTGCTTTGATTCCTGATCACTCATTAAATGGCATCCGAACGGTCGCAATACTTAATTTCACTTGTAAATTGGAAAACACTGCTATTATTAGCACGATAGAACTATACAATAACGTTTATACTGTTGAAGCTAAATTGCTGGCTATTTTACTTTCCATTTCTTTAACAGCTGGGGATTAGGAATCATTAGTTTCAGTTGAATCGATCCATTGCTGTTGTAAAGACATCATACAAAAAGTAATCTTCCTTTATAGTGTGGGTTTTTAACTGAGGCCAGACATTGATGACTATGACTATTATACGCCTAAGTCCGCCTAAAATCGCATAAGTTGCATTCGTTGATGTTCTCAAAACATCTAATCCTGAAATGTTCCAACTAAANTCCCGCACAATAGAAACATTTGTAAAAAAAAAAACAAATAGTCAGTGCAGTATAGGAGTCGGCGCGCCGACAGCCGATCGTCGGCGGCGGCGGCGTGAAAAATTTCGCGGCGGCGGCGGCGCGCCGGCGTGGCGCCCACCTCTAGTTCCAACTAAACTGGGAACAAAATAATACAAAGTAGGTAGTTTATTAAATTAAGTATCCCCCATTTGGTAATCGTAACCAGAATCTATAATCTATATCTATCGCCTCAAAACAACGGACCACGAACGCTTAAAACGTAAGAGATTATTTTAAACCAGGGTTCGAAAATATCCGATATTTATGATATATATCCGATATATATCGGATATATATCATAAATATCCGATATTTATGATATTTATCAGATATATATCTGATATATATCATAAGGATATTTTCGAACCCTAGGTTCGAAAATATCCGATATATATCCGATATTTATGATATATATCCGATATATATCGGATATATATCATAATATCAGATATATATCCGATATATATCGGATATATATCATAAGGATATTTTCGAACCCTGTTTTAAACAGGTTAACAGTTTCGTTGAAAGTAAAATTTTTGAGATAACAAATTATGTTGCTGCTGAAGCTAAGATAAATAACTTTAAAGATATTGTTTTCGACGTATTTAGCCCATACAGTTGTGTTTAGTACCCTTATCAAATTGTATCGGTTGTCTGAATCTTATCGAGCCGATAACAATGAAGAGAGAAATGTCTGTGTCACTTCCCAAGTGCTGATAAATGTGTGATGTCGTTCAATTTCAAAATAAAGATAATAATGTTATTTCCACATCGTATTATTCGGAAGACAAAAGAAAAAATTCAGCAATAACATTTAATGACCGCCAATTTCACAAATTTTTTGCCGCAATAAAACATATTATAAAAACGCAAAATTTGATTTGTTGTTTTATCACGAGTCAAGGCAAGTAGTTACGACGTTGAACTTTTGGAGCTAAAGGTCAATCGCCAGGTCGATTTCTAAAGCAAAAAGTGGATAAAGTCGATACATTTTTGAACGAAACCCAATAACGTAGAACTATGCATGTTAAACTGAATTCGTGGAGTTAAAGACTAAAATGCAAAATAAAAGACGACACGTCGCACAATTTACGTTGACTAATAACGATGCATTTTATGCACCTACTTGCATGTCAACGAAGAAAGATTTACTCGCTGTAAATCTTGCTAGTTGGGAGAGTCTCGGATTTAGAAAGAGTGTCTCAGTTAGCGACAAACGTTCCGACAGTCGCGGCACTAATCGCGTTAAAGCAGCCCCAGTCTGAGTAATGGGCGTGATTAAAAAATTGCAGCAGTCAGCTCAGCACTGAACTTATCTTAGAGACGACCAGCCAGTTTAAAATGAGCGCTGAAAGAACATTTGAGGGATAAACGGTGGAATTAAAATCAGTCTTTGCATTGTTCCTGAATTAATGTTTAAGCTTTCGCTTACATTGGCAATTATATTGCTTGCTGCATTCAACGATTTTATAAGAATTTTAGCGTTATGATAATATCTAGGAATTTAGAATAACTAGACCTCTTGCCTTAGCCGACCACCTTCCTTCGAGAAAGCGAGACATAGAGGTGTAAGGGAAATAGAACAACATTTGAAATGTCCACTGTATTTCGAATTTCAAAAGAGAAAACGAACCACACATTAACAACATAATTAAAAACAGTAGCTCTACATAGGGTGGGTATTTTTAAACAAACCATTCCAAACAAAACTGGAGTTCATGGCGATTGCACCGCACCCCTCCCAACGGTTTCGTCTAATGGCATATGATTACCGGTCCGACTATTCGTTGACTATTAACTAAAACTAGTTATGTCCACAATGGCGGTTGGCGGCGAGAAAGCGCTTCTGTGGTAATTACTGGGTACCTGTTTACTGTTGACAAACCGCCCGCAAAAAGCACATTTTTTATCCAGCGACAACGTTTTGGTAGCGATTTCGTGGTTTCACTTTCTTTCGTATTGCGTCAACGCAAGGCCACGTGCATATCTGGCTAAACAGTGTGTTATTATAACAATCCACTAATGCGCTGACATTAAGGCGGCTCCCAGATGATTAGTCGCTACTGCCGGATCTGCCAATTGTTTATTTTCACTTGGCGAGACGTAACAATATGTAAATTATGGACGCATGCACGATTGTACCTCGGCCATAACATAATGACACTTTCATAAACACGCTGTAATGATGACTGTGTGGAAGTCAGTTTGTTATCCATTCGACGATACTGCAAAAAAATCAAGCTAAGTTGATTTCTAACATGACTCTACTATTTCTTCTAATTATGTAACAAATAAAATAATATTGAATACAGAAATGTTCAATGAAAGTTATTTTATTTACACGCAAAACACAACACACGTTGCGTTGTTTCGTTTCTCGCAATTAGTTTGTTTTAAGCAAAGTAGGTAGGTACACGTATGTAACAACATGTTTAAGTTAATGAAACTTGTGTTGCCAAAGTAAACGAATGTTTTAACTAGCTTTCGTTGTTTAAATTGTTCGGCAATTTGACTGTAAAGGTTATGTC